CAGCCTGTCAGGACCTCCGACCCGTGGAAGTTTCGGAGCAACTCCGGGCGAGGCGATCCGAATCTTTGCTTGGTAACAAGGAAGCTTGAATAAATTGGGGGCAGTTCCCATTTCGCAACATGAGAAGCTGTTTAATTAGGACCCAGAATCCATGCAGATGCTGCAACTGCAGAAATTCTTCACTCCGTTCACTCTGCCAGGACAAAGAGTGTCTGGAACGATCTTGTATCAGTCTCCGTGAATCTTGATTCTTGACATACTTGACATAGCGTGTCAATGATGGCCCGCAGGTCTTCAGGCTGAACTCCCTAGCTGCGCAAGGAATGCAGATGCAGTTCCAGCACATGAAGCCAGAGGAGCTTCCCTTCCTTGCAGCATACCGAAAGATCATAGCATGAGATGGCGATTCTTGTGAGGAGCGGAGTCCTCCCAGCAAGCCAAGCTCCAAGATACCAGGCCCCGGGATATAGTTCGGTGTGGTGATTGTTGTGGTTGTTGCTGTTGTTGTTGGTGGTAGTGTCGTTGTCGTCGTTGTTGTTATTGTTGCCCGAGGCTAGTTCCGATTGAAGTTTGTTCCCCACGACAACCCCATCGCAACAGTGGAGATGCACCTCAGCGGTCCAGTCTCTGAGCTCCATGTTCGCTGTGGGCAACCTTTCACTTTGGCAGTGTGGGTTCAATCGGAACCAAGCAAATTGGTTCTTCCACAACTTGAGACAGCATGAAGGGCACGAGAAGGGCACAAGAGGGGCATGCAAACAGCGGCTCATCAGGGTGCAGCGTTGCTGCCAGCGAGCGCTCGCATTGCAATGCTTGTTGGACATGTTGCCGTCTAACCTGATACTGGCTTTGACGTATTGAGCATTGTGGACAGGATCCCCACCGGTGCCATCCTTTCTGCCCCCGACAACAGGCCTGGGCCAGTTTGGCCGATCTTTCAGGGCCACGTCTCTTTTCCGCTGACCGAACTGATTGATAGCAGCTGCAACTAGTGCCATCACGTCTCTTGACTCTTGAGCTGAGCGAATGCAGCCTTTGCAGGAGATACAGCTGGGTCCTCAGACGGCTTTGAAGAACCTGCTGCGCTTGCACGATGCCTGAGGCGTTTGGACAACTGTACCAGAGCAATCCTATGCATACCTACGTGTAGCTGCTCTTGAAAGTTGACAAGTCCGGGGCATCATCAAAGTCTTCGGCTGCGCTCCTTCGTCGATTTTTTCGGGCCCCACACAGCCCCCGACGCGAGGGTATCATGTGCGAAACGACAGCGATAAAATGCACGAGGACAAATTACAGAACTCAACAGGGCAAGGCACTTTGCGCAGTTTGAGGCTTGCATGTCTTGAAACCTTCAATCTGCATGCTTCCTGGCGGAGCGTTTTGGAATGGCAAAGTCGTATAAGGACTTTGTTGTAACCTGCATTGCGATTCAATTTCTTATCAGAAGCATTTTGTTGGTGTTGCAGCCTGAGAGCTACTAGTAGATGTGTAGGAGACTGTCCCAGGGCGCTGCTCGCTTCGCAAGTCCAGTCCGACGGGCCTGGCAGGCCTGCGTAGAGTCTCTTCGAGTCTGGCTAGACCCTTAGAGACACATGATCTCGACCTGGACAGAAACTGGGGAGTGCTTTGAGCCGACTAGAAGCATCCGGGCCATTTGCTTTCAACACGCCCGGCTTTTGACCCCTCACTCACTTGTGCCCTCGGACGGCCTCCCAGCTTGTACTGTAGGTTCGGGGATTCAGAAAGCAGGTTGCCCGGCACTGCAATTGCACACATTGCGCTGGCACATAGCTCGTGTTGTTTGCCCCATCTCGACTTTATAGCCAATTTATAGCATGTAATGTGGCAGCGCTATGGAGAGTTTATGCGGCTCAGAGCTAGCTTGTGCCCTGGTACGTGCGGTTTTCTATTCCTTGCAGGCCTGCAGGCGGGGGCAATCTGAGAATTGGAGAGCCAGAAAGCCCCTGCCTAAGTCGACAGTGGGCACAGGGAGCGCCGGGAACGCAGGCGTTGATCACTTTGTGCGGCTCTTGACTGCAAGAAGGTGTCTCCTGTCAGTTCTGCCATGAGGCCCTTGGTGACCAAATCCCCAATCAAGGCACACGCAAGTTCGGTGTACTCTTGAAGTCTCGGCTGTAGGTTTGGGTATCGACTTTGCTTGTCACACTTGACAGGTGGAGGCTCCCATGCCCGTCCCAACAAGGCCGGGGCCACGACATCTGCAACATACGCTGCAGCTGTCGCCATTCCATGGCCTTCTGGCTTGCTTTAGATACTTTAGGTCACTACGATAGCCCTGTGGCACAGGTTCTTTTGCATTCTTCCTCGAGTTGCCGTTAGGTGCTGCATCTCCACTCCGCGGGAGGCGCTGGAGAGGCACTACAGTGACTGGAAGTCAGCTTAAAGCAACGGTGGAAGCAGTCTGCAAACCGCAAGCTTCAAACAACCATAGCTGACGTCCCAGAAGCATTGTCTAAATGCTACCTTGCAACATCCTTTGCTATCTTGTGCTGTGCTCCTGCTACTCTTGTTAGCAGGGACCTGACAGAGCCCGAGAAGGTGCAGAGGGGCAGAGGGGATTGCCACATGTTACGATGCCCATCACCCTTCATGCCACCTTCCCGACCCTCGACACAGCAGGGAGAGAATATTAAGAAATAGGCAGGCTACGAGGCGTGCGGGAGATGGCAGGTGCGTTATGGCGAGCTGACCTTCGTCGAGCGATTGGGCAAAGGAGAGTTCGGCGAGGCCCAAGCAGAGCGTTGGAAGGTAAGCTGATTGTGTGACAGGGGCAGCGAGTTTCCCGCAAGCCAGCAAATTAACAACAAATTGGCCAAGCGTATTCTACTCCCTCCAATGCGCTTGCTGTAAGGTCTTTCGCGGCTTGTACCTCAACAAGGAGGCAGCCCTTGTTGTTGCTACCATGACACATAGTGAGGGCTTGGTACCAACATCGAATCCATGCGAACAAGCTGGAACTTCTTGCTTCAGCAATTGGCAGTACTTCAGTAATTGGCAGTAGCAGGTGGCTATCAAACAGCTTTTCTTTGACGAGAACATGACAGAGTTGGTGGTGCAGGACTGCCCGTTTCTGCAACATTCTCTTGCGCAGCTTTAAGTCCAAGAGCCATCTCACTCCAAGCCACACCAAGCAAGAAAACCACGAGACGTCCAGCACTTGTGACGTCCGCCGGCAAGCCTGACACGCAGGACTTGGCCAGAGAGATCGACTCCTTCCGCCACCTCAGTCACAAACGTCTGGCCGGATGGCTTGGCATGAAATATGTCTCACTCAAGCCATACTCTCACGGCGTTGATGGCCAAATGACAGTCTGCCTCTGAGGTTCGCTTCCTGGGCGCATGCTTAGACCTGCCCAACTTGTGCCTTGTCACAGAGCTCCTCGCCTGCAAAAACCAGACATGCAGAGCGGGGCTTCAGTCCGCAAGTTCTCCCAGTTCGTTCGTCAATAAAGGAAACATGGCGAGGCGCAATGAACAAATTTGCACGATTCATGACTTCTTGATCCCTACCCTACAGTGACCGGCGTGGGAGCCATGCTGTCGTTCTCGGACAGGTAGTTGAGGATACTTCGCAGGATTCTGTCGCAGTTGCACTGCAGGGACTGAAATTTTCCCCGGCGTTCTCACAAGAGGATATTCGTGGGGTTGGTCACTCCAGGGATGCTGATTCTCTTGTGGAGGTGGGCACTCCAAGTTTTTTGTCGCAAGAATCTAAACATAGCTCCAGAAACCCAGCCATCCAAAACAGAGCTGAGAGCTGAGCAGAGCCCAAACTTTCCAATGGTTGCTGACAATACACATACCGCACGCACCAGCCCCGTTTCCGGGCTGCTGAAGGGCCCAGCTAGGCATGAGCTCCCCATCCAATCCAACCTTGAGAAACCTGACCGCGAAAATGACAAGGTATATGCCAGGAGGGTCCCTTCACCACCTCTTGCACGTTCGGAGGCGAGAACCTGAGCATGCGATTGGTGGTACATGTGGTACCTTCGCAGCTGCCCAATAGGCAAATCAGAGTCACGACTGAGACTGAGGCAGAAATTGCCACCAAGCCACGCGATGAACATGTGCATCCAGTGGCTCGGCCTTCATGGTTTTTTTTTAATGCTTTTGGTTCCATCTCTTTATTAGGCTTTCAACTTCCAGGGTCACTCCGGAGCAAGAATCACTGCGAGCCTTTTGTGCCAACCAAGGATTGCAGACGGTGTTTCGTGACCCTAGATCTCATGCCAGAGTCATCTCTCTGTTCCATGCTGAGCCTAGAATATCATGTCCGAAGGTACTTGCACAGCCAGAACCCAACCATCGTGCACCGCGATTTGAAGTCCTTGAATGTCGTGCTGGACCTGAGTTTGAACATCAAGGCCCAGCGTCCCGGAGTGCAGGGTAAGGGTTGAACTGCTGCGGGAATCCGTCCTGGCAAAATTCCGCTAATACCCGCCGCAAATGCCACTTCACTTGGTTCCACATCTATGGCCATCCTTGCAGCCAGTCTTGAAGAAGCTTCTCGCTGTGTTTGCCTGCCTATCAACATCAGGATGAGTTGCGCATTGGTTCGTTCCGAGCCCGAGCGCTGGTGATTGCGACCAACCGGCAATTTGTGGCTCAAAAGATGAAGCAAGACGGAAGTCTAAGGTAGATAGGTTAAATTGGAATCTTTTAGTTTTTGTCCGCGGTCTTGAAAGCAAGGCGGGACCGAACCGGATTGAGGCTTCTTTGTCCAACTTGTCTCTTGGTTCAGGTTGCTCTTGCGGGAGCACTAGAATCGCTAATAGAGCATATCAGAGCATGCTTGAGATTCTGAGATTCTTATGACCTTTCTGCGGATATCGCGGATCTGCGACAGTCGGTGCCTGCTTCATCCTTCCACTTCCTCGTGCCATCTTTGTTACTGGTAAGATATTACCCCCCCCCCTTCCCAACCTGCAGCGACCATCTGTGCAACCTGTTGCTCAGACTGGTGCTGACACAGCTGAACCATGGGCTGCTCTCAGAGACTCGGCCGCTACTTACCGGGAATGTTGCGCCAGGCTCTGGCGTATTATGCCAGTGTTTGGCTATCCCTTCACGCCGTTCTGCCATGAGCCTTTTCCATCCTTGTTGGTTGCCATGCCAAGGAGCTCAACGATTTCAGAGGCTTTGGGTCTTTCAGTTCGCATAGTTCGCTGTGCCGAGATGTGCAGAGTCATGCCACATGTCGCGGCAGCATTGAGGCAGGCATTCAGGAGAGTGTGGCGCGCAGGCCGAAGCAGTACGCCAACCTGCCCAACATGCCCACGCCTTCCCGACCAAGGAGGTCACGCGATTACATCTGGGAGCGTCTAGGATTTCTCCAATGAGAACACGCACTTACTGCAAGCTTGCTGTCATGTGCGCCAATAAGACGTCCATGAAGGCGCGCTGGAGTCAGTTGACCTCATGGCATCTCTTGGCCGTCAACATCAAACGTATACCAAGAGAAGAATTGCATCTCACGATTTCATGCTTTAGCTTTCAATAGCTGTCAATCTGCATTCGACCATTCAGTGACAAGAATTTGCTCACTGTAACTCTCAGGAGTTCCTGTTTCCAAATCCCTCAGTGCGTTTGAAGCTACGCTTGCAAAGAGGATTGAGACATAATTCTGTTCTCAGACTGCGTCGACCCCGCCAAAATAGAATGAGCAGCAAAGCCATGTCGCCATGTCACCCAAGCCCGCACCTACCTAGACGCTTCAACCCCTTCCGTGCACATAATCTCGCATCTGCAAGATTGAGCCCGCACAGACTTGGCCCACTTCAGACGTATTGAGTTGGGGCGCAACCTGAGTGATCATGCCACAGGCTATTATGCGAAATCCGAATCTCCGTCAGGCCTGGAATCATTGTTCATCAATTTTCGTCACCTCTGGCCTGAGCTCATAGCTTTCAGTGCATTCGACTTGCCTTACCCGTCAGCAAGCCCTTAAAGATTCTCTCAAGAAGTTTTTGCGATCCGCACGCTGCCAGGCTCACTTCAAGACGACTGCTACATCGCTCGCCCCCGCAGAATCACCAGCCTCCGAAAGCGCTGTCCAGAAGCTAGAGGACATTCGGAGGCGCTTTGGCTTCCTTAACAGCTCTTGGTATTGAATGTCGTTCACTTCTTTGTTTCTTCATTCATTTTGTTGTGTCTAGGGCACTTCGAGATCTTGCGACTAGATACTGGGTCGAGATAGCCAGTCAGATTCAGCTGTTGCTAATGTTGTTAAATCTGTGCGGTTACGTGTGGAAATAAGATTACGTACACGGCTTCAGTTGAAAATGCAAGTGCGGGCGCACAAAGTTGCCGCTTGACCACTTATCGGACTTATCGCTCCTCTCAGTTGTCGTTGCCGTTGTCGAGGCACCATGTTAGAATCCAACGTGCTCCTCTCATCTTGCCATGCTGGAAAGACAGGATATGGGGCGGGGCAGTGGCGGGGCATACTTCAGGTGAGAACAGCATGTCAAATGCCACCCCTTCGCCGTTGAGATCTGTGAGGTTTCAAAAATGCTTGTGAGCTGAGAGGTTGGGATGATTTGGGGCAGCTCCCCCATTTGCCTTCAATGTGACGTGTCTTTTTGGACTCGAAGGTCTTGTGAAGGTCTGCTCAAAGGAACCTGGGCTGTTGCAAACGTGCCTGATTTGTACCGTGTTGCTTGGCTTCGGCCTGGGATTGTTCTGGCTGCTTGTGCAGTGAAGAAATCAGAAATGAGTCGGTTGGTTTGGCCATTGGCTAATGCAAATGTGCCCGGCCTGTAACCTGTTGAACTGCGATAAAAGGTGGAGCTTATGTGCAGGCAAAGTTGCTGTGATTCATAGCGTTCGCAGCTTGTATCTGCAGCTTGTGAACAATGAGAAATGCTGGACCTGGAATAAGCTATTGAAAACAATCAGATATCAGTGGTATTATTCAGAAATAGGAACTTGTGAACAATCAGAAATTTGGCCCGCAGGCTCGGAAAGGTGAGGAATGCTGCAAATGCCAGCATTCCTCGTCCGGAAAGCTTGTCTGATGATTCTTGAACTTACTATTGATGACGACTAAGTTTGAATCTGATGTTTACTAAGCTGTTCTGGCGATGCTCGACCCGAGGGGTGCAAGCTCAGGTGCGTTCTTCAGGTTGGTGATGGCACCTTGGCGGCAAGAGCTCTGAGGCAGTCGAGGGAAGTCTCAGTAAGATACACCTCATACTGCACTACTCCGTTGGGCTGTGGTGTGTGTCTTTGCCCGAGATCGCATGCTGGAGTGTGACGGGCCATCCCTCCAGAAGGACTACGATTCTTGGCAACACGAGGCCGCCATACTCTGCATTGTGGAGCTTGTGGCGGGAGTAGGTGAGAGATAGTCAGAGTGCTGGAAAGGTGGATGCCCACGACTTGAAGGCCATGAAAGACGGACATGCCGTTCCAGTCAACAGGACAGCATTCGCAGACTGCCGACTTTTGGTACATTCGATCAGCGGCCCGTGTCGGTGAGCATGTTTGCTTTTGACTGCGCTCGCTTGCCAGGACTGCTGACCAACACTTAGCAAAGAAGATGAAGTCTTCAATCAGCACGTCGGCTGAAGAATATGGCAACATGTCGGACTGCGTTGTGGATACTCAGTCTGCAGGTTCCATGCAAGGTGCACTATGCAGTCTTCAGGGAAGCACGACAAGACTGTGTAACAAAACCCAAAAAGAAAGGGAATCATGAGAGCACAAGTGCCCGGAGTCATGTATAAGCTGCTACGACAAGCAACCTCTTGCGATATGCAATCTTGCAATATGCTGCGGGTCCTGTGGTGCAACGTGCATGTTTTGTGCGCTTCTGCAGGCGAGCTTACAGAGGATCCTGCCAAGCTCAAGCGCGCCGTGCAGCTTCGCCGCATGTCACGCGAGGAGAGCGCACAGAAAGCGTTCTGGGTCAAAGAGAAGCGAGGAGATATCAGCATCACAGGGGGAGCCGACAGCTGAAGCGCGGGAATGCCATGAGTTTGTGACAATGTTTCAAACCCAACTTCCTGAGAGGAGATTGCAGCTTACCGGAACGTTCTGTCGTTGAGCCTTGAATCTGTGGAGATGAGCTGGTCACTGCAGATCCGGATATCAGGATAGAAGGGAACATGAGGTGAACTCTTCCCTCCCAGAGCCCAGTGTATTCCACCGGACAGAGCTGCTTCTGGTTCACAGTGGTTCTGTGTTGCGCAAATTTGTACATCTCCCGCAGGCGTGGTAAGGAGATGTAGGAGATTGCTTGAGAGTTGCACGGCAGACTCTTTCCTGCCATGTTTCTTTCCACTGCAATGCAGAGCCGAGCACACTCGCCTAGGAATGGCGTGGAGGGTTCCAAGGAAGAGAACAAGAACGCGAAAAAGAAGGAGCGACCGAAGCCGGGCTGCACTTAGCATGGCAAACAGCAAGTGCTGCGTGCGATGCTGGGCACAGCGGCCCTCCATTCACACGCGCAGCGCGGCTTGAGCAGGGGCAAGGGTTTGAAAGCGGCTGCAGGCACCCGAAACACTAACGAATCTCACAAGAAAGGAACGTGCCTGTTTTGACATAGCATACAAAATGCAAGTTCGTGGCCATGACAGAGAAGTCCACCAGCCAACGCCCGAGGGATCCCAGCCTCGTCAAATTGTCCAAATCTTGGAGTTTCTCCAAGTATTGAGTCGGGTTTTCTAGCAACACCGTTTAATAAAATGACGTGAAATAGTTCAGGCTGACGGTTTCAAAGCTGAAAAAACACAGTTGAACAAGCAAGACTTTAAGTACATGTCACCTCGATCGTCCCCAGCTTGCCCAACGGGAATTCTGGATGCTCTGAGATGTGTTCAGAGCTGAAACGTTCGTCAATATCACGACGCCTAGACCCCCTGAGTCAGCGTTTAAATCCCGAATCACAAAGTCTTTCAGTCATAGACACCGTAAGCACTGACTGCCAACAGCTCCCACCAAACTAAGCCCCAAACCGTTTTTGGGTGGAGAGCAGAAATAAACGTCAGGGCCCGCGGGCCAAAGCTTTGAAAAGTTTTACCCCAATGCCATCGCCCGAGACAAAACCAGGAAGCGCCAGCCGGAACAGCTTAACACCTCTGACTCTGAAAGTTTAAGCTTTAAGGCCCAAACTGCTGAAAAGGGGCCACCCTGAAGTTTCCCTGGTCTGTTTGCTTCGTAGGAAGGCTCTGCATTGATACAGTTGCCCCGTCTGAGGGCACCCTTGGCCTGCTCACTGAAGCCGCAATCCGCGAACGACCCTAAACATCCCTAAACCCTAAACCCTCAATCCTAAACCCTGTGCTGCCTAACTTCTGCGCCGCTCGCCCTGAGCTGCTGCTCCTGCTGTGTGCACGGCACGATGGGCTCTGCACATGTTCGTGTCGACCCCTAGCTCTTGATGCTCTTGTCACGTTTGTCATGTTTGTCTTGCTTGTTGCTTGAAACAAGGCCACAGCCTCGGCCAGCCCTGTGAGCTTTGTGAGGATATTGCGGTTCCCATGTGAGACCGCCGTCGAAACGGAGATGTTGTCCGGAGCAGCGGAGGCTTTTCTTCGCTTGCTTAGCTTGTGCTCTCTTTGGGCCATAACAAATCTTTCTCACAACCGACATGGCTTGGGCAGCGTCATCCAAGTCCTTCTGGGCAGCGGCTAGATGGGCTAGACGCAACGATTCCTTAAACGGCCCTTAGGCCTGCTTCTGACCGTTCTGACGCCTTAGCAGTTGCGCAAGCCAGAGCCTACACTGCATGACCATTACCTGGGCATGCAATTTCCTCTTTATCCGACGTGTTGAGACCATGGATCACAACAGACCTGATATCGCACCTCCTTTGAGCTGCTTGAAAGGAAACCCGGCAGGTTGCAAACTCATAACATGATGGAGTCATCTCCGGTCCGGTTCTCTTCAAGCATGCTCTCAAGCGCAGAAACGGGAAGTCTTTTTGTTAGTCACGGGTGCCAGTAGCCATTCCTCAATGGTTTTCGGTGCAGGCTCTTGTCTGGCACCTTGGGAAGGTCAGGGCCAAGCGGGGAGCAGGCAGTTCAGCTAGTCTTTCGAATCGCCCGGAGAAAGAGCAGAGCCTTCGCCCGAGCACGGTCGCTGTAGTGCAGTCAGTGTCAGCACTGTTTCGCATGCTCTGGAAAGGGGTGCTACTCCCTGATGCATCCGGGCAGCGCGAGTTGGAGAAGATTTGCCGGTTCCGGTTGTCATTGGGTAGTGAGAGGAGTAACTATGCTGACCAGCACACACTGATGCAACTGCGCCTTTCTTTTTTGCGGCCTGCAACCGAACAAAGTTCGAAGCGCGGCATGAGGATGCGTTCCGTACAGCACAGCGTTCCATACAGCACAGCTGTACTTGGAAGGGGAGATGAAGTCGGCCGGCAGTTGGCAAGCCTTCATGCTAAACCGGGTTCCAAAGCGACAATTCGATGATCAGCTGCCAGCTTGGCTTTTCCTGCCCGAGGCGTGCTACAAACCAGCTCCAAATCAGGGAATTGCTGGGTTGCAACATGTCGTTTTTGTTTGGCTGGAGTGCCCCTCGCTTTATTCAGGGTCCGGGATGATTCTGCACTCCAAGATTCCTAATCTCCTTCTTTTGAAGTTGGGCAAAGCGGGCCATGAGGGGCACTGCGCGCAGTTTGACACACACGCACACACACCTTTGTACTGTAGCAGTCTATACATACTGGGCAGCTGAGGGATTGAAGATTGAAGATTCAGTTCAGCTCAACACAACGAAGGTGTGTTCATCTTGTCAGGACCAAGAAGTCACAGTTCTTGCCGATCTTACATAGCCTGTGGACGCACGGCTGGACCTTTCCGACTCATGCGAGTGGCAAACATGCACCTTACTGTATCAAGAGATCTGCAAGTGCAGGCGATGCTGTGAGGTCTCGGATGTTCTCATGAGGTTTGAAGCATGTCCAGCCACAGGTCCTGCTAGGTGGTGAAACCATGTGGAACCGGTAGAGCCGTCTTTGCACAACTAGCAAACAGACCCTCCATGGTGCCACAGATGCTCCGCTAGAGAACATGTTGTTGAGCCTGCTGTTGGATCCATCCCAGTGTGACAAAGGGTAGGACATGATTGTATACAAGCTTCATTGCTGCCCGTCAGAGATCGCGTGTGATTCCTTGCATTGCAGATCTGCGACTTTGGCCTCACTGAATCCATGGAGCCGAAGTCTCAGACCTCTTGATGCAGGGCGCACCTCACACAACTGTCGAGAGGACCAAGCATGTAAAGGACCAAACCTACCTCGCTCGCAGAGTAGCGCACCAGAGGGCAAACCGTTTGATCATACCCATGTATGCCGCCTATCGTGTGGATTTAAGAAGCGGGAAGCCATATAGAAACACCGATGCGCTCCTAGCTATGCAGTGCACGGCACAGATGTAGCCACTTGTGGCCCACGACTTCGTTGTCGTAGCAGAGCCCCCTGACTGGTTCCCGAGGGTGATGAGGCCGCACAACAAAGTCCTCCTTGCCCTTGGGTCCTTAAGGGTTTGTTCTTGAGTTTGGCATCGCTTGGCACATCTCTCTGATCCCAGTCGCACGCACATCACCAAGAAGAACAACGGCGGTTCTCCAAGGTTCCCTTGGCCGCGCCGTCGCTCGCCAAGGGTTCTAGACGCAATTGACGAAGCCAGGTACATGGCACCAGAGCTGTTTGACAGCAAGACAAAGATCACTGAAAAGATCGATGCCTGCCTCCCATTATGTTGCTTTGTCGCTGCTCGCTATCCACCGCTCATGCCGATTTCACCAAGGTTTGGGCTATGGGATGCATCTTTGTGGAGGCTGGAAAGCCATGAGCAAACAGGTCGGTCAGCTTAAGAGTCTGGAACTTCGACCTGAACTTCGCAGATCTGCGGCGGGCCTCTACCCTATGAAACCATCACGACACTGGCCGACCTGACCAAGGAGATGCTGATCAAAAGGAGAGCTGTTGGACAGCCTGGCAGTATATAGAGGGTCTGCATGTGTCTGCATGAGTCGACAGATGCCGTACAGAGCTGTTTTCGCAGAATTCGGTGGTCGCTTGGCAGGCGCACTCCTGACATTCCTGAGTTTATCCTTGGCACGATGAGAGAGATCTGCGGTAGGCCCGCTCCGTTCAAGCAGCCCTTGACTGTCTAGCACATTGCAATCAGAATTCCAAGCACACATACTTGCCCTCATTATTGTTTTTGTCAACAGGATGGAGGCAGTGAGCTGATAAGCATGAGCTGCAAGTGCATCGTGTGGCTTCGTCATTGCATCGCTTGTCACTGTCCTCGAGTTTTGTCGATTGTTGATGGAGCCATCGGGAAGGAATTTCCTGTGCCCAACTTTGCACGTTGTTTCGTTTATTGCGGTTCCGGTCCGCTTATCCTTGCTTGCTAAGGATAAATTCTTGGTGACGTATGCATGAGGAGAGGGAAGCCCCCCCTATGCCCAAGCAAACGCCTGCTCAAGCTAAGTCAAGACAGGCCGCCACGAACGCATTCTTGATGGCACCGCCGCAATACACTTAAGTTGCTTTGATTGGGGTAAGCTGTTGGCTACGTTCCGCAGAACCCACTTCTCGATGAAACAACGATTCTTGATGGCCTCTCCGGTATCGCAGGTGCCTCAGCTTCCACTACGAGGACCGTCCCAGCAGCCAGGATGCGTTCGAGCAGCTAAAGGCCGAGAGTGCATGTGGCGAGAGTTTGGCAGACACGTACTCGGCCCGCGAGGCTACACGCTAGGCTGCAGGGCTATTTCGGCTTCCGTGTCAGGTTGCAAAGCGAGCCTCGCGCGAAGTGAAGCTTACCCTCACAGCTTGAAAGCTCGACGATGGATTCGGAAGTTGGCTCAGTGGGCTCAAGGTTTTCAAGGTTTTGTCATAGTGGCCCTGATGGCAAGTGCTGGCGCAGTGCTATGCGCAGCTGCATGCCCGAAATCATTCACAGCATCTGGCTGTCCAGGGCTCCCCTCAACACAATAGAGGCATCATTGAGAGAGCAATCAAGTGCATGAAATTCGGCGCACGACCAGGAGCGTCTTTCACGGCAATGCAAAATATGTCAGAACGCCTTTCGTCTGCCTTTCCGATGTCGCATTCAGGGCAGCAAAGCTCAGCAGGAATTACCAGAATGGCAAGTTTGGGTAAGGGGATTGCAGGGCACAATGCGACAAAGGGCTCCTTAGCTTTCTGATACCGGCTGGTTGTGACCCTGGAGAGTACCAGAGCGCGACTCCGAAAGGCTGCCGAAGAGCTCTTCTGTTTCCCAATTTGGTTTTTTATCTTGCCTGAGGAACCCCGCAATTCCGCAATCCAAGCTCCAGGTTCTTTGTTAGTCCTTGCTACTATTTTGGGAGATGACTGCCATGCGCCGAGACCTGTCGCGATGGGGGTCCTCATGCTTCCGATGATTGTCTAACGACCTCTCTGCCCAGGGCTTGTCATCGATCCCATTCGAGAAAGTTGAGTCACTCCAGGCGTTTCGGATCTAATGCCATCGAACCACCACAGAACTCTACAAGTACTCTACACTACTCTGCTCATCTCACGTAACAGTGTTTCTTGAGCCCTGTGCTTCCTTGCATGACGCGGTGCTTATCTTGGCAGACTTGTACAAAAAGGGTTTGCCCAGCTGTTGCATGCCTTATGGTTGTACTGGCATGTGCGGCTTGTGTCTGCAGACGACGCTAGAGATGTGACCCGTTCCAAGATGTTCACAATATTTCCCACGAGCCCAGCGAGTTGCCATGGCTTTCTTTGCCTTGTCCGTGCCATCTTTCATGTTCGGATCCACCGAAGTTCCGTAGCAGAGGTCGGGGGTAAGCCCAGGCGCGGCTTGCGACGTGCAGCATGGTGCACCGTTCGGGGCCGGAATGAACTTCTCAGGAAATTAAAATCGGATTTGGGGAGAAAGGCGGGGGCCTTTTAATTCGGGGAGTAGTCTGGCACTTCTATGCGTCCTGCTCTTTCAGACCAGGCGACATGGACTGGTCGAAAAATGACACGCTCCCGTCGTCCGGCTCTTGGTGAACTGCGCAGTTCAAAATAGGCTTGTTTTCCTGATTGCACCGAATAGATGTTGACAACGTTTGCTTGTCGGACTCTGGCTTGAGCACAGTTTGGGTTCAGATTCACTGCATGCTGTACGGGATCGGAGCTTCCAAAGTAACAACTTCCAAACTGCGCGCCAGGCTGGGGGCTGCCTCTAAGCCCGGCACCCGGGGAGGCCATGGCCTCAACGTGTAAAACACACTACTCAAGGAAGGAGCGCAAGCGTCGCTTTTGGGCACTGATCTACTGGTACCGGTTTCGTGCCATCAGGCACTCATCAGCCATACAGCTGCGATAAGCAGCTGTAGATCAGTAACGTCCTGGACATGTGTGCTGCTACTTTTTACGTGCATGCACATAAAAAGCCCACCCAGCCCTCACCCCGGCACGAAATTGTACCGGTATGTTTGCCGGACAAGACTGAAAGAACATTTCCAAGCAACTGTCAACTTTGCCTCTGGCAACGTTGATTCTTTGAAAGCGTGAAAACGCGCTAGTCTGGCTTTCAACTTGTTCCATGCGGTTTAACAGCTGCGACAGCTGCGACAGCTGCGATACTCCAAGTCTCCAAGTCGCCGGTGTTGGAGCTCCGCTGTTGGGACGCTCAGTGGAGCAGCCATGAGCAGCCCACAGCGCCTAGATGATGGAGTCGGATGGAATCGGGCACTGCAAGCGTCAGACACAAGCGGACCTAATGCTGAAAGGTGAGATCCCGCGGATGTGGTGACCTTAGTTCTTGAACCCGACCTGCCAGAAGAGTGTCAGCAGTTCCACGCAGCTCAACAGCACCCCAACACAACGCATCCGACAACCACGCTTAGGAACCGAAATGGGGGCCTCGCTCCCCTCCACGCGTCCTCCCACTTTAGCAGCAAGCCTGAAGATCAGGCCCGTTGGGCAATGCTGGGCGCACGGGGTAAGCTCCCTTTTCAAGAAAGGCGCAGGTTAAGTACTGGCAGTCGAGTTTCTGCAGATGCGTGTCTTGAGAATTTGAGGGTGGCAAAGGAGGGAATGCACAGCGGTGACAAGTGCGCGTGGTGAGCACAATGTGTGAGAACATGACACCATCAGCCACTGTGTAGAGAGGGAGAGAGACGCAAGTGTTCCGGCTTTGCAGGGCCCAGTACCCCGCAGCGCTCATGGCAACCGCTTAGGCGACCGTTCTTGAGAATGCGTCAAATGGTGTTGCTGCTTTGCTTTTGATGTGTGATTCAAGCTCAGCACGTGTTGAACACACGCACCAGTCAGTCGATATTATAGGATCTGTGATTTTGGGGGTGCTTTGGGATGTGTGGTTGTGCTGACTGAGCTGCGCTCTCTCTCTCTCTCTCTCCCGCTCTTTGAGCAAAATCGCCGACGGCAACAAATCTGGCAGGGTCGACGTTCTCCTCCAGCATGACTGTGGGCCATGTGGGCGCAGGCCTGGCATGCAGAGTCCATGCAGCTCCCTCTCTGCTGACCCCAACCCGCGCAAATGCACCAGGCTCCCTCCATAGGAGGGTGCCTTCCCATATTTTTTCGGGAGGCGGCGGTTTGGCCGCGAGCTCCACTACCTCCAACTGGGCTCCGCAGCATCAGCCTCTGAGTCAGAGTCGATCAAAGCCGATCAGAGATAAGAGCAGGATCCGCAGAATGCCGTATGCACAGCTTCAGGCTCCATGTTGGCAAGCTGCCGCAGCCCTTCGCTGGACACTCAGAGTCGCGCAAAGCTGCCAAAGCCCTTGGCGGCTGTCTGACACGGCCACGTGAGATGCCATAAAAATCGATACATGCCAAAATGCCACGGAGTTTTTCATTTATGCATGGTGCGAGAGAGATGTCAGATATGTGCAGTCGGAATGCAGTTGTCCTGGTTGTCCTTCAAGGCGCCATCAAAACAGCAGCAGCAGCTCGAGGAGGCAAGATTTGCAGCTTCAAAACCTTACGGACCCTTGCGGCGCACTCCGTGGTACTGTAGCTTCACCTCAAGGTGCTTTTTGTCGATTGTGTCGAGTCAGGTGCATGAAAAAGTGCGTTTGTGAATCATGACACTCTGGTGTGATCTTGGCGCAAAACTGCACAGCCAAGGTAGCGAAGAGTAGCGATGTGCTGTTTGTTAGTGCACAGACGCAAGGACAAAAGTCCAAACACAAACGCTGAGAACCTGACTGGAGGCTGCCAGCCACGCTACCAGCTCCCGGGATGCTGGAGGCGTCATGCATACAGACATGGACATGTACAATTTATGTATATACCTGTAGAAAAGTACATGTATGTACTTCTATGGCATCGATATGTATATACATACATTCTACATGCAGAATCATACAAAGATCGGTATAGACATATTTATTTAATATACATATATGTGCTATAGAAAGATAGATCTGTATGCATGCACGTACGTATGCACGTACGTATGCACGTACGTATGCACGTACGTACGTATGTGTGTAGTATGTATGTACACATCCATGCACAATTTCGCAGCGCAAGCCCAGGTGATCCCATTGCCTGCGCGTCTGCTTGTGCCGTATCTGGTAGCATGGGCCACTGCTGATGTCTTCGCTTGCGTTGTTTTAGGCGTCAGCTCCGGCTCAATGACCGCGCGGCAAATACGCTCGCAAGGACCACAGGATCACCACGATGCGCTTGATGGCATAACTCAGAGAAAATCACTTACACCTCGGCGAATCTCGCCTGGGCAATTGCTGGTGACCTGGCACCATTCCCAACATTCAAAAACATCATAAAAACCCCTGAGGTCTGGCGGAGCGCGCGATCCTGCTGCAAGGGTCTCAAATTGCAATTGCAAAGATGTTTAGTTCATACGCCCGGGCATCCACCGCAGATAAGCTACAGTTCACAATGCGCTGCCCTTCTGTTTTCCTGACTTCCAGTCTCGCTGCCGCAGCACCGCAGCCACAGAACCTGCCGGAACTTTTCTGTAGATTCTGATCAGGGTCCGCCTTGGCATCCTCATAAGGGTACCGCATCATAGTCAGGTTCCTGGCACACGCGGCTCCCTCACAGCGCGGCCATCGTCGAAAGGAGGCAAGGTTTTCATGCCGATGCGGCTGTTATAATCAAAGCACACTGTGGAGAGGTTCATAATGATAGTCTGATGTCAGCAAGTGCTTGTTGAGACATGCTCGTTGTTTTGTCTGTTTTGTGACGTCGCAGGAAGTTGTTGCTTTTGCAACCCATGCAGACCATGCTACCTTGCTTCCACAAGTCTGCAATCATCGGGGCCTTCAATGTGAGTGGCATCGCATGCAATTGGAGGCTCCCAGTCCTGGGCAGCACAGAAGGCGACTGATCTCGAAACAACACAGAGCTGGGGTTGATGTTCGCCATTCGTGGTTTCTGGTGTCAGACTTTGCACTAACCTCACTCACCATTGAGAAGTCGGTCCTTTGCTCCTGGCAGCCGCGATCAACATTTGTTGGCTGAGCCTTCTTCAAACAGATACAGAACCCAGGCCCAGGCCAATGACGATGGGCCGCGTTATCCCTGACAGGAGCAGCTCTTAAACGGGGGCCTCCTGTCGGGAACGACACCAATGATCTCCTGTGCTCCGGGCGTGTTGTTCAATGATGGCAGGTGGTTGCTGTGAGAAAGCAGCAAAGCTTAAGCAGTGTTTGGATACTAGATGTTTCTAAAGTCTGCTGGTGTTCTTCTGCTTGCATTGGCTTTGATCCATGTGGACCAGGGACTCCAGATATGAATGCGTACAGACTCGGATGGACGACGTGAGAATGACACTCATGGGCTGTTTTGCACTTGTCCACACATGACCCGATTGTCAGCAGCGAGCATCCACACGCAGTTGCAAGCCGAACGAGCGCCGGCCTCAGGCACAGAAGGCACAAGGTACAAGTCTCGCTAGACTCCGCTTGGCTAGACAGAAAACTTGGCCAAAAACAGCTAACAACAAGTTGCGACCTCTGGCCGCCGACATTTCTCGCGCATTTTGACCTGCCAGAGGTAGGGTCTGTCTCCCATCTTCGACACCTGTAGATGGGGATCTTCAGAACCTCTGCCGCAGACCTGTCCAAGGCAGAAAGGGAGAGGGAGCGGGTCACGGCCTCAAAAGAGAGAGAGAGCGAGAGATAGAGAGAGAGAGAGCACATGCCCCCTTGCCGAAAGAAAGAAAGAGCACCCGTTATCGGCTGTTTGGTCCAGGTTTCTGCAGAGTGCTCTTGAGATCTCTTGAGAACTTGCGCGTAGTACATTTACAAGCAGTGCAGTTACGCCCTAGTAGCTCCCAGGGCCTGGCCTCAGGAGAAGGAGCGAGAACGCGAGCGGGAACGGCTGGAGCAGGAGAAGGAGAGGGAAAGAGAAAAAGAGAAGGACCTCTGCTCGTTCCCATCTTTCTCCTAAACACCTCTCTGATCCGCACTTTTTCTTCTTTGACTCTCGCTCACTCAGTCTCCAAAGCTGGAATCGTGTTTCGACCTCACGGGATCGCCTTTAGACTCGGGGGCTGGTAGCACTGGTAGCACCAGCAGAACGAAGTACAGATAGGCCGCCCAAAGCGCACCAGGAGCGCGAAAAGGAGAAGTTGAAGCTGGAGATTCCTCTCAGCCCTGCCAAGGCGGCCATTGCTGGAAGGGCTCTGAAGCAAAGGGAGTTCACTTGAGCAGCGGCTGCGTGGGATGACAGCGGCATAATGCGGCGTATGTGGGGCACTAGTGACTTACATGTGGGCTGTCCAGGTCCTCAAGCATCACATCGAGGAGCCCATTTTGGCTGAGCGGAGAACAGAGCAGAAGAGCATGCTGACGAGAAAAACTGCATAGTGAACTCGACAAATGGTGGGCCCCGAAGACCTGCCAGGAGCTGTCGGAGTTCGAGCAGGGTGAGATCTTGGACTTTCCACAGATCTGGTGAGCCGGATTGGCAGGGCATTAGAGTCGTTCAAGGATAAGCTTCCATGTTACGTTCTGATGGTGTTCCGTCATGCTTGGCTTGCGTCTGGACCATGGACTGATCCTTGAAGAGCGGCTTCTTCAGGTACTTCGGCGCGGGTGCTCCCAAAATTCGGGGGACGTCTGCTCGACGCCGAGTGTTCTTAGAATGTCACACGCATGCGAAGTCGCAGGCCGATTGAACTTCACCAGGGAGTTGCCACTCGCCTTGTGAACTGCAAGCCACTTCTGCAACAAAGGCGTCCACAAACAATCACTCTTACGATGACGAGCGTGGTGACTACATGGTTGTCTTGCCGGGGCCCAACCATGCAACTGTGTGGCTACTCTCTCGATTTTTGCTATAAGAACATATAGGCACAGGCAACCTTCATTCCTACTCTTATTCTTACACTGAGATGCGAAAATTGCTGAAACAACTGAGAGCACAATATTCCGGCCTCACCATATGCCAGCTAGAGGGCAGCAAAGGGCAGCAACATGTCCTCAGCACCCTTGAGCCCAGAGTCGTTGCGCCGCTTGCCAGTGCTTAGATTGAGATGCTACGTTGGCTCGGAAGATGCCTCTTCCTGCATTCTTGGCAACGTGGCCTAGGCACGACCACATCTTGTACCGCTACGAGGCACTTGCCTTGCTGTACCAAAGTTACGAATCACTGGAATCACAGGAATCACAGAAAGAGGTATTAAGACTCCAAGTCTCCAGGGCTTGGCACCTGCCAAGGTGTTGAACCCACTGGGCAAAGGTTCCTTTGGGCAGGTCGTGCGGTCGTAAGCCTGCCGGAGATTACCATGTTTGCTTCCTACGCTTGTGCAAGACAGCCTGCCAGCATTGCATCTGAGGAACACACTTGACTTCTCTTGCTTGCTCTTGCTGATGCAGTGCTGCCCACCGTCGCTGGCACAACTTTCGGAGACTTGGTCCGATCCAGCATCAAGCATGGATCCCACATCTTCACGACACGAATGCCTGCTCCACTTAGTCGGGGGAGCGGAAGCCAAGCCTCGTTCCCCCCCCCCCCCCCCCTGGCTGCCCCGCCTAACTTCGCGTTGCCATTTCCGCCTTCGCGTGACGTTCGTGGGATCCGGGCCAGACTTCCCTCATTTGTTTTTTTTTAAGGAACGTGAGAGGCCGAGGCGCACGAACCACCACTTTCAACTGCGTCCTACTTTTCATACCTGGTTCCGGTCTCAGTCGTGCCCGCTCATCCGACCAGCTTTGTTCAATTGCAGCTCCCTCGTGTAATCCGCTTTGCGCTGTTTCTCAACTAGGCTTGCGGCTTGTTGAAGCTACGCCTGCTGGCACTGGAACCATGAACCATGTTGCATCCACTGAAAAGGGCTTGTTTCAAGTACCACGTTGGCGCACGGCCATGGTGCCAGGTTTGACTTCAAGACGAACAACTGCGTCGCCTTGAAGATGGCCACTGGGCCGAGAGAGCAGAAAAGCGCCTGTCAAAAGTGAGAGCTCGAAAAGTGAGAAAACACAACACACTATTTTACCACCCTCTCTGGGTAGAGATACTCTGGGGTTGGGCACTCCAGGGACACTCGGGGTTTGGGTATTCCAGGGGTTGGGCACTTGAGGGACACTTGGGGTTGGGCACTCCAGGGACACTCTGGGGTTGGGCACTCCGGTTGGGCGAGGAGTAGACCGGGAGAAGCAGACCCGGCGAGGAGAAGAGTTGAGTTTAAAATCTAACAACCCCGCATCGAGGGTGGGAAAAAGAATATAAAGTAAACAAATTGGTCGAGGAGCCACAGCAACAAGCTTCAGAGCGGTTTCTTTAAGTGCACATCTGCCGTCACCACCTTGCCCGTTTTTTTGTGCTCTGAAGGTGCGCAACAAGAAGCGCTTTCACCACCAGGCCCAAGTGATTAGTTTTCGACGCACAATTGCACTAGATGGCAAATGATATTGACTCAACTGTAGAGGAAGATGGGATGAGATGGGTACATGAGTCGAAGAGACCGGCATGCCCTTGGGTGAGTGCTGTGTGCTGCGGGGAATGTTGTGGAGGCCCTTGTAGAGGTGAAGATCTTGGAGCATCTTCGAGAGCGCGATCTGGAAAGCACCTCGAATGCGCTGCACTCGACTTCGAGCTCGAGTGTTAGCAGCCATTCGCAAGCTGTGGAAGAGTATCTCCAGTATCTGTCAGGTCGTGCACATGCTGGATTATTTCTACTTCAGGCAGGGTCTGACAGTGAGATCCTCAAGCTTAGTTCCTGGGCATGGACGGTTGAAGGAATCACTTGTGCATAACCTTCGAGCTGCTGAGCATCAACCTCTATGAGTTCATCAAGATGCTTGGACTTGCATCTTTTTGCAGCCGGGTGCTTCGCGAAGCTTGAGATGCTCCGCGTCATGAAAAGCTTTCCCAGGAACAACAACTTCCAGGGAGTCCTGAGCCCAGTCTGAGAGGTGTCAGGATGCCGAGCCCTTTTGAGTTCTGAGTTTTGATGCTAAGCACGTCATTGCACCCGCCTGTGTCTGTCGCAGTCCCAACCACCGGTTTGCACTCTGATAAGAAGCATGGAATCCCCAAAAAGGTCTCCTTGGGTTTGATCCGGCGCTTTGCCATTCAGCTCCTGGCAGTCTCGAGCTCAATAACTACTACATTTACTGCATGTGTACGCAACAGCTACAACACAGACGTAGACTTCCGGTGGGGTTTCGAGGCCCTCCGGTTTTTGCGGAAGCTGCACATCATACACTGCGATCTGAAGCCAGCAGGGCCCCCGGTAAATGAAGGCCCACTGGAATTTACGAAAGCAAGCAGGTGCGCTCATGGTTTTTGGATCCAAAAAAGGAGAATGTGCTGCTAAAGAACCCGACGAAGAGCGGCATCAAGGCACTCCAAGCTCAGCATCCGCAGCTCCTGAACCCGTTTGTTTTTTCTCTCTCGTTCTCTATATATATATATATACATATACAGACATAATCAATATGTTAAAATGTGTAGAGAATACAGTCAAATCATACAGTCCTGCAATCACGTGAAGAGAGAGAGCCTAAGCTTCTTCGTTGCGAAACGAGCGCTTCGCACCAATCGCCTTCCCCAAGCTCACCTGCAGGTCATAGACTTTGGCTCCTCCTGCTTCGAGGATGAGCGCGTGTACACGTGCGCCGCGAGACTCTGCCCCTAAGCCCTTACCATGGAAGAGTAAAGAAAGAAACGCAGAAGGCACTGCATGTTTTGCCTAGTATGTACACATACAGGTACATCCAGAGCAGGTTCTACCGTTCTCCAGAAGTGATTCTGGGAATTCCGCCAGCGCCTTGCGTTCCACGCAGTACGTAATTGGAGGAGCCTAGCGGCGTAGCATAGCGCAAAGTGCGTTTGTCGTGGGACAACCAAGGTATGACACGGCGATTGACATGTGGTCGTTCGGGTGCATCTTGGCCGAGCTTCCTCCCTAGATTCCGCAGGATCTCGGCCATTCATGGTGCGGTCCAGTGTGTGCTGGGCGGGCTTTCAGGGGCTTTAGGGTTCAAATGTCACCTGTGCGAGGCAGATGGGTTCAAATGTCATATGGTGCAGGTGGCTGTTGGAAACCCTTGCCGAGGTTGTACACAGGCTATCCGCTCTTCCCCGGCGAAAATGAGGCGGTTTCCAAGACGGAGCTTGCTTGGCTTGGCAAAACTTTCCAACCTCCGCACTGCGCACTGCAAGGAATCTCGAAATGCCCACACATTGTTTTGAAGATCCGAGTTTGATCTTAGCTATAGCACCACCGTCGCAAGTTAGCGTAGGTCCAAGTGTTAAACTCGACACCAAGCATCCTAGGGCGCCTGCTGAGGAAAATCCTCCTCGGCCAACCTGCAAGCATAGATGCAAAAGAGTGTCACTGAGGGCGGATCATGAAGCCAGACACCCCAGGGGCGAAGAGAGCAACCAGGGTCGGAGCGCAACTTCGAGGTTTCCGGCTGTTTCCTTCCCACACAACGAATGTTTGAAGCAGGTTGGGGAGGGCCAATATTCTCCAGTTCAAACTGAAGATGAAATTGGGGCAGTATTCTTGGCCTTTTTTTGGTGGGTGGTGCGTGAACTGGGGCAAATCCTAAACCCTGAACCCAAGAGACCCTAAAATGATCCAAAAACCACCCAACCCCACTCCTTTTCAATCAGTTCCAAAAGAACAAACTTTCGGTCAAGACTGTGTCGAGACTGTCGGTCATCTTTCGTGACAACAACCCTATGCAGTTTCCAAAGGTCAGCTGCTTTGGGACCGAGTTTGCCTGGTATTCGTTTAAAGGTAGAGCAGCTGGCCTGCATCATGGAGCTGTTTGGCGTCGGACCCTCGCGGAAAGTTGTGTTTAGGGTCAGCTTCCCATGAACGCGCCACTGGCTGGAAGGTATGTTCTGGTGAGATTGACACAAGCGAAGCGAGAGAATTGGCTACCGATAAGGTCCCGCCTTCAAAGATCTTGGACGGCGCTCCTCGCATCAAGATGTACGCCCCGCTTGATGCTGACGAGTTGAGACTCACTGAGCACAGTTCTGTAAAAGCATGTCAGAGTTCACATCCTCAGCACTTTACAGTTGTGTCTACCGAGTTGAATCCATGCCTCTGGTACCGCGGTTCGAGAGCTTCCGGAAATAGCACTTCTCTTCGTCACGAGCGTGAGCAGACGCGGCAGACAGCTGTGTAAGCGACCCAGGCTGGCCAAGCCCTGAACTTCCTGTAATACTTCCTAGAGTGAGTAGTGACAGCAGCGCGAAACACAAAGAGAGCCCAGCCGCAGCCTCCTCAGAACCACATCCATCTGAGAAAACAGGAACCACCAGCTTAACCAGTATGAACCCGACATAAACCGACTCACAGCCAAGTGAGTCACAAGCCGCTATATCTTCGTCACCTCGTCAGCGGTCTCTCCATGATTGTCCATGCGTGCTTTCTTGCCGAGCACCCTTGAGCCTCCACCCTTAAGAGACCCAACCATCACATCCATGAGCGTCGATGGCGGAGCTGCCGGTGGATGAACCGACGACGCTGCCTGGTGAGTGGCCAGTCGGGAGCCCAGTCGACATGTCAGTTATATTAGTTCATAGGTCCTAACCATGATCACAGTCGGAGCCTTTTCGGCCGAGGCTCTGCTTCATGGCGGACAGGTGTTTACGGCCCTTTTGCTTAGCACCAGCTTCTCTGAGCTACTTCGACCAAAGTGGCAAAAGCTTTGAGTTTGTTGAGCTGCTTCCGGCTGCCTGTTGCGGAGATTTGCCTTTTTGCTTTTGCCACCTGTTGCCTGCTGAAGGAAGTACCGTGGACGGCACATGGTCGGGTTGGAGACAGCTGCACGTGTCGACACGGCTGGAGCGGAACAAGCGCCGCCTGGTGAAAGTAAAGTCGGTGTAGAACAGGTGTGCCAGGGTGTGCCCATTGTTGTCAGCAGCACTGAGCAGCAAAGTGTGCGAGGCGCGCAGATCTCCGCATACCACGGAGGCAGCTGTGCGTTTCATCTGCTCTGAGTTGAGGGTCATTGAGGGTCTGTCAGAGTCTCAGATCGGCTGCGGGCGAGGTCTGGCGATATAATTTGGCATCCATCCCTGCTTCACCGGGCTGGAAACCGCAACTCGCATGGTTATTCTGAAACGATAGATGCATGCGGGGCCCTGGCAAAACAGTCCAGGGAATGCGATCGCTCTTTTGAGCCATAGCTGGTCATGCCCAGTTCTGGCCATGGTGTACCCGAGGTGAAGCAGTTGCCTTTATTTGGGTCGGGGATGCTGCTGCCCACGACCGTGCCATGGCAGCAATGGCCTTCAACGTTCAAGCGAAAGTTCAGCCACCGAGGTTGTCGGTGGTAAGTATTTCTCGTACTTGCTGTGCCATCAAGGCCGCACCTGTCAGTCCTAGGAGTCGGAGATTGTAGTCCCTATCGTGAGGCACCATCTACGTGTGCTTCTCACCCCTCCGATACCGGACACAGTTCCTGATGCTAGGCTTCAGCCAAAGGCCGTGACATTGCAGGAAACCCCGTGCTCATTCATGATGCTCTGAGAGAAAGGGTGCACCTTGGAGGGCGTGTATCTGAGGAAGATCTGCTGTGCTGGCCTCGCAAAGAATGGGATGACCTTTGGCTGTCTTCGGCGATTATCAGAATCATTCAGCATTCATTGGGGGATAGAAGAGGACGCGTTCTGAACTCCTAACTCTCCCTCTGTCAATGGTCAAGGAGTGCACGACGTGCTTGCCATCAAACCACCGATCTCTCCATTGGAACGACTTTTGGCAAAGTTTGGCGAATTGAGGTCAGGCTGCTGATAGGAAGGTTGATGCGACTCACCTGTTTCAACACATGTCAAGCAGCGGCGGCTGCGACGACACCAGTGGGGGAAATGCATCACAATTTTCGGATACAAGTCTTCATTCCCATAACTTAACATGGACGTTGGCAGTCAGCATAAGGATGATGCTGCCTGTGTCCACCTATCTCAAAGTAAAATTGGAGACTCGGCATCAGATGAGCTGTGTTGTGCGCGAGGCACAGGCTGGCTATGGCTGACTCTAGTCCGTCCCTCCCCCCCCCCCAGCTTCCTGAACGCAAGGACCGCCTGTGGGATCCAGACGGTGACCAGTTGCTGTACAGCAAGCTCCTGAAGAGCGTGCCATGGCAAAGGTTGAGCATAGCAAAGCTTTTCACATCCATTGGGCCTCACGGGCTGCCCGCGCTTTCAAGGCTTGTGCCGCTGCAGACCGCTGGTGTCTGTCTGCACTGCCTGCCTGCCTGTCTGTCTGTCTGTCTCTGTCTGTTTGTCTGTGTCTGTGCGCGCGCGCGTGCGCAGCGGGCGGGCGGGCGGGCGGGCGTGGGTGGATAAATGGGTTGGTGGGTGGATAAATGGGTGGGTGTGTGTGAGTGTGTGTGTGTGTGAGAGTGTGATCGTGAGCGTGTTCGACTGTGTGTGTGTGTGAGTGTGATCGTGAGTGTGAGTGTGAGTGTGTGTGTGTGTGAGAGAGAGTGTGTTCGACTGTGTGTGTGTGAGTGTGATCGTGAGTGTGAGTGTGAGTGTGTGTGTGTGAGAGAGAGTGTGTTCGACTGTGTGTGTGTGTGTGAGTGTGATCGTGAGTGTGAGTGTGAGTGTGTGTGTGTGAGAGAGAGTGTGTTCGACTGTGTGTGAGTGAGTGAGTGAGTGAGTGAGTGAGTGAGTGAGTGAGTGAGTGAGTGAGTGAGTGTGGGTGTGTGTGTGTGTCTGCGTCTGCATCTGCACCTGCGCGCGTGTGTGCGTGTGCGCGACTGCCTCACGGGAGTCAACAGAGCCACCAAAGGTCAAGGAGCTTCCCGATCACCGAGTGCAACTCGGCCTGTGAGTGGCCTTCCAGGGGACCGGGTTTGCAACATCATCATGCATGCCATGCACAACCTCTTCAAATAGTGTAAGACTGGCGTAAGAATCATGATAGGTGATGAATGGTGATGAATGGTGATGAATGGTGATGATATGATGAGATGGAGTCTGTGGGCCGCTCACACATAGGTTGTTCTCCGGCATCTCGCATGGTGCAGCGTTGGCACAAGCGGCGGCGCTGAAGTTTCAAATCCAGCGCCAGGAGCCGATGCACTGACTGACTATCACTTACTTGCGAGCATGGCGCGGTTGCCACAAAATGAGACATGAAGAGCCACTGGGGCCGGTGTATGGGGTTCCCGGCCAGCCGCGGTGTCAGCAGGAGACGGAAGTTTTTGTGGTGACCTGGAATGCGTACAGGCCGGGCAACACAAGGTCCGCATGTTCATGCCACATGCCGGCTCACCCGAAGACACCAAAGCTCAAAACTGAAGGTGGACCGATGCAGCTGGGCGTGTCGCGGGCCAAGACATGTCTATACATTGCTGCAAAAATAGAACCACAAAACCCGGGAGAATGCCCAAAGGGTGCGCATGTTCTCTGCCGTACATTTTGAGCCGCGGCTTTGCAAAGGCGGCAGTGGAGCGCCATCTGGGACAGCGACTGGAGCTCAGTTGCGAGACGATGGTTTGGAAACGTAGTTGGTTAATGATTGGAAAGCTTGTGTCATCTCATTCCTCAGAATGTCCTATGCTATCTTCGAAGTGTTTGTGCCATGTTGTGCCTTGTTGCCTTCTTCCTGCCCCCTGCAGGGATGCTCCACTTCGTCCTGTCCAAACGAGAAACCGCGAAGGCCGGAGCTGGACTCAAAAAGCTGGCTTTCCTATTCCTTGCTGCCTTTCGTTTGCCCATGTTTGCCCCTGAAGGCGAATCGTTACTGGGACAGCGTCACGAGCTTCCCTCAAGCCCTTGGGCATGCAAAACATGCAAATTACAAATAATTACAACAAAGGATAACAAAGGTGACTCAAGTCATTCTCAAATCGCCTGCGTGAACTCAGAAGTACAGCGAAAATGGTCGGTATGGTGTTGTGAAGACAACTTCCTGGTCAGAGCACTCAAAGCTGCTAGACGAGGCTGCATCCCAAATACGAGAACCAAGGATTTATCGCCCATGCCGAACCAGGTGCTTCTGGACGCTGACACAGGCGCCCAATGGCCATTGCTGAATGTCTTGGAAGGTTCTGTTGGGGAGCTGGAAGCCGAGCGGCCGAGCCTAGGAGGTTTCTACAAGCACCAGGGCGAGAGCCGCTCGCAGCTTGGGGCGGCCTTCTTGATGCGCACGTGCCTCGCCGAACCAAGACAAGTTGGACATATTGGGCATGCTCAGAAGAAGCGAAGACAGCAAGTCCTTACATGATTCTTCCTGCAGCAAGCGCTGTATCCGTTTCTGTTTGCTGGTCGTTGTAGCATTCCCTGGTTGTCGATCCGTCCCAGACATGGCACATAACTGGTGCGAACCTGAATCCTGCTTGCGCTGCAGAATACTCTCAGGTTCGAGCTGCACTTTGCCAGGCGGGAGATGACCGAAGAGAGAGTTTTTTTACCCGGAGAAGCAAGTAGCCGATTGCTAAGTTGAATTTCGGATACTGGTGCCATCATGGAGTCAACAGAGCAATAGCAGTGGCCTGGGCGAAATAAGCTTCGCAGGGATGCATCACAACTTTAAGCGCTTCATGCATCTGCCTCGGCCCTAGCACCTCAGCGGCACAATGTCCAGACCCTGATACAGAAACCAGAATCTTGAGTGATACCAGTAGGAGACCAGAGAAATCCGGTTGCCACTCACCCCTACAAGAAGATACGGCCTTACTGGAGTTGCTTAAGTTGTGCTTGGCTTTGTCTGCTCATGGTTTTAGTGGTGTCTAGTTTGTTGCGTTGGGAAAGCACCGGTGCCTGCGCTAATCCTCGTCATGGCTGGGCGCCCACGGACACACATGCTACACGAGGAAGTGTGGAAGCAGTTTTCGCCGAAAGCAGGTCGGCCATCAGCGCTACCAAGAAGGCCACGGCTCAGGCCGATGGGTATGACCATTATGTGGGTTATGGTGAACAGGCTCAGAGATGTGAGGAAACCACTCCAAGATTTGCGAGGTCGCCACATGTGTTACACACTATTCTCATCTGTAATCAGACAGCGGATTGTAGGATTGTAGGATTCAACCAAAGTGACAGTGAAGTTTGAAGGTGGCAACGGTGAACTTAGACCGCAGTACAGAAGTGACTAGCGCAACAAACTGTCACTGGAAAAGTGAATGATGTGCGGGTGAACAGAAACGGTGCAGAGGCAGGTGTGCGCAGCAGAAGCTCAGAGTGGGTCTGTGTACGAGTATAGTTAGGTGAGTAATTATGCTGGCTGAATGAGATTCTGGACGAGCTGGTACTAGCGATGCTCTCTCACGAGATGGCGACACAGAAAGGATCCGGGGAGCTTAGATGCTTCTCAGTAGAAGAGGAAGATTCGATCTCGCCGTGCCGATGGATGATATAATTAGGTCTGACCCGAAGCATTTTTGTTTGCAGAGGCCGTGGGATCTGACGAAACGGCTTTGGAAGAAGACGCACCCAGTCTGTGATTCGGAGAGGTTGTCTGGGGGCTATCGCGTCGACTATCGGGTTCAAGTTGGCATGCAGTATTTACGAGTGAGCATGCAGACATGTGGACATCCTTCCTTTGGCAATGCAGCCATGAAACCAAGGAAGACTCGTTTCTGATGAACAGGCGGTACCCTCCTGAGGAACGAGAGTTGGGACCGTCACTAGAACGGTGCGCACCGCCGACCCCAAAGGTTGGAGCTCTTCCAGGACTCACTCATGGACAAGGCCAAGAAGGCTCCCGGATATGGACGGCAAGCATGAAAGAAGCAAAGTAGAAACCCAAAAGCATCCCAAAGCCTAGATTGGCGCCACACTCTGCGGCTCTGCGACAGCATGTTGGCAAAGGTGGCTGTGGCTTCGCACAGACTGAAGCGGAAAACTTCGCAGACTCAGTCGGCAGCCTCCCCGGAATGGGATGGCAGGAATTGGGGTTTTGGCATGTGCGCCTACAATACCATGGCCCAGCAAACTCAAATCTGTGCCGGGATGCCGGATTTGGCAAACGCATGGTCATGTGATTCATGTCTTAGTCGTTCATTCAGGGTCTGCGTCATGACGGCGGGCTCAGGACTTCTTGCTGGCTACAAAGCGGCCTTGGCCTCAAATATCCAGGGAATGTTTTTCAAGATTTTGCAAGAGTCCGACGCTGGCAGAGGGCATCACCCAAGGTGGCGACGGCGAGACACCACGCAGGCAGGCTTGCGCTCAGGTCCTCGAACTAGCTGCGCTTCAGCTCCCTTCGGTTCCCTTCCTCCGCCTCACCCGAGCAGTTGGGAAAGCGCAGTTTGCGGAAGTTGACGCCAGGCAACCATCACATCGATCGACGAGGCACAAGAACACGATGCCGGTATCTTGTCTCCTTGCTTGGGCACAATCACAAGCTCTCACAAGCTACTGGTACCTAAGCTGATACCATGCAAAAAAGTTGGACACCTTTGGCCCGCCTTTGGCCATCATCTGACTTGAATCACCCTCCTGATAAGGTGTTGACGCAATGCACGTCGAAGGTGTTTATTTAAGCCCATGGCCTTGGTGGTAATCACGTCAGAAGCCAGAGGACTGCCATAGCCCGCTTAGTGAAACTTTATACCCCGAACCTGAACCCCCAACAAGAGATATACCCGAGCCGTGCAGTCCACAAAACGATCGAAAACGTCTCCTTAAACCGAGCCCCATTCAGCGAAAGCCTGAGAACAGAAACCTTCAGCCCTCGACCTCAAGGCCACGAAGCCCGAAGCAGCACAATCGCGCGGTTCTTTTTCTAAGCCTCTCCAACGCAAGGGCAAACGAAGCCTAAAATCCTAAACCTCGGAAACGATTGCAAGAAGTATGAGCAAATCCCCAACAAAGTTTGCCGGAAAGGTTAGCAAACCTAAAACGGTGCTGTCAATAAGTGCGTCGACTGCGAAAAAGCGCGCACGCTGAAGATGTTAACAAACATTCCGCGCAGCGTGCACCTTTGACAAGCCCGCTCATGCGAATGAACGCACACTGCAGATGCCAACAGGCATACACGAGGGGCGTCCGCACAGTGCAAACCTTGGGCAATCGCGTCAACTGCAAAAATTGTACGTGCGTCCGCGACCTGTTCCAGAAGCCTGACGATCGTAAACCCCCAATTTGGCACCGAGTGTAGTAGTAGTAGTAGTAGTAGTAGTAGTAGTAGTAGTAGTAGTAGCAGCAGCAGCAGTAGAAGTAGCAGCAGTAGTAGAAGTAGCAGCAGCAGTAGCAGTAGCAGTAGCAGCAGCAGTACAGCAGTGGTGCCGCATGCGTGCTTCCGTGACACAAGCCTGAGGTAGTCGTCACGACGGCGGCCTTGTCGCTTGACATGTTGGAGTACTGTCATGCAGTCATGGAGAGGTGCCTTTGCACTCCAAGGTTTCCTGCATGTGCTTGAGCAGGCTCCTAGCACTGTGCCAGTGACGCCCTCACGTGCAAAATTCGCACGTTTGGGGTTCTCGTTTTCTTATGTTTTCCCGTCTGCTGCGAGAGGTGTTGAGAGTAGGCTGGCCATTGGGAATTCTTGACGTGGAGATTGGCTAACTACCAGGGGTTGGAAGGCAGCGTAGATTCTGGCTGTTAGGTGCAATTGATTGTATCCCTTTATGAATGATCAGACGACGATGTCAAAGGTATTGTTTGACAATTTCATGGACATCCCTCTTTCTCCTGATGCTGCCTATGCTCATTCTGGGTTCATCCAACTACAAAGATATCCTACCTATGCTCATTCCAGGTTCATCAAAGAAAAGGTATCGCAATGTGCTATAAGTCGTGCTTTCGTTTCGAAACTGGTTGGTTTTCTGTGCTTGCGCTGAACGAGTACTGTGATTCATCTTAGTCTTGTGAGCTTCTGACGGTTCAGCAGAATGATTCAGCGTTGCTTGTTTGGGACGCTCTCTTTCAAGTTGAGCTAGGGAGGTTGTGCTGAGCTAGAGGGAAATTTCTTCATACATTCGTAAAGAGCATATGTTAGCCAAACATTTGTGCCTTGCAGATGACGAGCGCGAAAGTCAGACATCGTGCAGCCGGCACAGAGCAGTCAGCTCCGGACAAGCGATCGTGCAAAAGCGCGTCTTTCAAATATGCCTTGCCTTTGTTCTTCATGTTGTGCTGGGGAGGTTGGCCAGGCCGGCTGAAATTGATTATCCTCTCGGAACGTCTCTGGGGCTTGCACGCATCGATTCAATGTTAGACAGAGGGCCCCTATTTGCGGACGATTCATGGCCCTGCTTCTTGCAGTGCATTGGATCCTGTCTAGACGTGGCTACGAACCATGCTTCCGACGCAGGTTCTTTGATCCCCACGGCAACCCGCGGCTTGTTCCGAATTCGCGGGGCAAGCTCAGAAGACCGGGCGCCAAGGCGAATCCCGTGCACATTCAATATATTTGCCAAGACACGATCACTAGCGAAAAGCATCCCTTCTACGCTGGCAGGAGCTACAGTCCGTCCTGCGAACCTCCGAGGGGAAGTGGGGCTGCCAATTTGCCGTGAAAGTTGGCATGGATAGCAAACTGTATCTTCGCAACTCCAGCTTGCTGCTGTCTTAGCAGATTTTAGTTCTCGTATAGACGTACTAACGTAGCAAGCTACCAGCGCTTCACTCGCAGCGGGGTAGAGTCCTTGAAGCTTGGTTTGCTGCAAACTCGGAAGACTCCGTCACCTGCCAGGTTCGTGGACTTCCTTCTGGGCTGCCTGTGGGCGGCCAAGGATGTCAAGTGGTACGACCGCCCTTTAAGCTAAGCAACTTTGAGCCATAGTTTCATAAGTCTCTACAAGTCACACTCGAGTATTCAGTATAACTTGCTATCACACAGCTGCCTCTGCAGAGAGTGAGAGAGAGAAAGAGAGAGAGAGAGAGAGAGAGAGAGAGACGGACTTCGCGCGCCCTTTGGGGCAGCCTTCTCTTCGGGGGGCTAAGCGTGCAGGAGAGAGAGAGAGAGAGAGAGAGAGAGCGACTCCTGGCATCTCCTCCCATTTGACGCTCAGGCAGTGGGATGCACGGGAGCGCTTCAGCCCGGAAGACGCACTACAGCAGGCTCTCAAGTGGGTGGTGGCATACGTGAGTTGCTCAGGGCACACGAACAAGTGCATGCCGGCACGTAGGGAATCTCTTTGAACATTGATCCGAGCTTCTGTTTAATTGGGGGGGGGCCCCCCCCCCCCCCCTCCACAATAAGGAATGCAGGGTTCCGCAATAGTTGGACCATGGCCCTGTATTGATTTCTCTATTAAAAACAATAGGCTGCAGATTTCTGAGGTGCTGTAGCTTTGCGTCTCCGCAAGCAAAACAAGAAGCCTGCCGACAGATTTTTGAACCCCCCCAAAAAAAATTCCTTTAAATGTGGGGGGTTTGTCCCATACGAAATCCACCCTAATGGAAAGTAGTCTTCCGGCGGGCTTCCGGCCAAAAAAAATTTCTTTAAATGTGGGGGTATTAAATACTTAAACTGATGCTCGGATTGAGAGGGCCCCTGACAAGGATCAAACTGAGGCTTGGTGTTGCGGAGCGTTCTGTAGCGTTGTTCGCGTTTAAAAATCATTATAGAGGGAATCAGCCCAGCATGAAAATACAAGCTAAAAGGGGAAGGGACTACCCTGCATTGCTTTGGAGAACTCAGTGCTCTTTCAGTTTTCTGAGCCAGAACAGCAGGAATGGATCCTCGAATGCTACGCCAAGTGCCTGCCTCAGGAGTAAAGCTCCAGCTAAGCTTGAGGCCAGGGTAGGATACTGATATTTTGGTGGAAGGACGAGAAAGTACATGCCTCTGTAGGCAGTAGGCGCTTAGCAGGCAAGAGGCAGCTCCATCCCCAGAACTTTTGAGCTCCAGCTGCCGTTGAGTTCGCACGTGACAAAGCTGCGAATCCTTTCTCCTGCACCAACGCAGCCCCTTTCCAGCGCCTGTGCGCCGATTGGGGTTTTCTTGGACAGGCCTCCCCGTGACAGCGCCGGTGGCCGAATGCCGGGCACCCACTTTGAAAAGTTTCCAAACTCTGTCAGAGGAGGACTCTCAAAAAGCAGCTGAAGCTGCGATTCGCTACTGCAGGCCTGAAGCCCAGGCATCCACCAGTTCAAGGCCAGAAGCTGTGCGTTGTGCAGGTCACTCCCAAAGCATTTGCTCGGTGGCAAGGGACAGAAGGATCAAGCTGTTCCCCTCTTGAAAACTGGTCAGAACACTGGCGTCTTGTGACGGGGGGGGGGGGAGGTTCTCGGATTCCATCGCACGAGCGCTCGAAGACCTGCGCATGAGCTCTGGATCTTGAGATCCCTCCACAGCCCCGCCGAAACTTTCCAAGAACCGAAGGTGCAACCAGACATGATGCACAATCATGTTCTCACTCCACTTGAAGTTCAACAGTTTCTGCTTTTCCGGGGGGGGGGGGGACGGGGGGGGTGGTCTGGCTGGCAGATTAAGACCATCTGAACGGGGCTGGACCCGTGACACCTCGACCTAACTCCAAGAACCTCCCCCGAAGACTCATCATATCTCATCATGTTCAGCCTGTGTTTGTATGTGTGTGCGGGCCACGCGGTTACCAAGACATGGTCCAAGAATGCAGGGGGGCTCACGATCCTCCGAGCCAAACTGGGAAGAGAGACAACGAAGACACCCTGTTAGGGCCTGTTAGGGCTTGTGAAGCAAGGGCGGATGGATCTTTTGCAGACCTGCAAAACTTTGCAGCATGTGACTCATTTCGCCATAGTCGCCGTCCATCATGTTGTACATGCACAGTCATCTAGTAGTGAGGCATTCTGAACAAAGGCAGATGAAAAGCACTGCCGACTAACACCCTTATTTAAAGACGTGTTTGAGGCTCGCAGAGTGAGTGTGTGTGAGTGTGCGTGTGTGAGTGTGTGAGTGTGCGTATGACTGCTCTTGGTTTTCACAGAAGTGCTCTGGCGTTCCTGCTGCGGTAGTGTGCAATGACAGAACTGCTGCTAGGACACGAGGAGCCGCGGACAGTCATCGAAGTACCCGTCTCGGGACGGACAGGAGACTTCGACAGGAGAGTCCCTAGCAGTCCTTTTAAGGGACCTTGCAGAGTGAAACCACGACTATTCTTAGGTCGACGGGTCGTGCAGCAGATGGGTTCGACAGGCTGGAAGCGAGAGGAGAGAGGGAGAACGGGAGTTCGGTGCTACGCTGGAAAGAAGGAAGAGAAGTCAATGAGCACCGACCTTCGACAAACACCCTTACTCTGGTGTTAGCCTCCGGGAATCGCTGTCTGATGTCCTTCAGACAGACTACATCCTCGGGCGCGCGATGGGAAGGGAGCTTTAGTTAAAACAGGAGGTGTAGACAGATCCTGTGCCTCGAGCACTGTTGGCTGGATTTGGAACCGGGGCGCGAATCTTGCGCGGGGCTTAGGGCCCAGAAAGAAAAGCGAAGGAAAGAAAGAAAGAAAGAAAGAAAGGAGAGAGACGGTTCAGTCAGTACCCTTCTTTGTTCCCTCCTTTTCCGGCTCGTGTCCGAGCTGACGAGGTGTCATCTCTCGCAGAAGTTTTTGTAGCCCGCGAAGTGAATTAGGGGGACAACAGAAAGGATCATGCTTGGTTGTGGGAGGTGGCTTCGGCGCAACTGGAGGCCCTGGCTTAGTCACGATGTTGCCACATGTGTTCGCAAGTTGTGGCAGAACCCTTGGGGAAACAATTTAGAGTTCTTTGAGGTGGAGCATTCACTAGCAAGGCCTCTTGCTGATTGGTAGTGCTCAATGAGGATGATCCCTAGCTCTCAAAGAAGTCTCAAAAGATGTCCATGCGTATGAGGGACAGGCAGGAAAATACTCTTCACAGATCTGCGACTCAAAACCATGAACATCCGGAGTGGCTTGGACAGCGACACTTCTCATCGCATCTGCCGAGAAAACTCGCGAACAAGAGCCAGCACCATGCAAGCTGAAAAAAGTCCCACAACCAACGCCTGAAACAAAATCAAAAACCACTCACAGCCCCAATCTGCTCTGAAAGTTAGCACCTTCACGATGGCGCGAACCGGGCCAGACCGGTTCGCTTTAGTCTCCCAGTACTGATGCAACTGTCGGAAGCGGCCCCGCAAGAAGTGGCCCATGGTGAGTTGCATGAGGCTTTGCCGCTTCTACTGCTGGCGGAGCCCCATCAGGTACCCCTGACATAGGTTCCAAGAAGCCGCCAGACGAAAGCCGAGTGTGCTCATGCCACGACAGCTCAGATTTCCCTAGAGACTCCTCCAGAAACTGCGGATGTTGCAGAGAGCGAGCCGAGAGCCGATGGACGACAGGGCTGCAGAAAGTGAACTGCCAGGTACAAACCTGACTTTTCCACCAATAGAAGGATCCGGAGGCCTGTGCTCTTTGACCAGGGCGTGCACTTGGCAGTGACTCCTTGTCAAGCTGAGTCAAGCCGTGCAATTGCAGTTTGCAAGTAACAACGCCACAAGCTACGTCATGCCCCAGCCGCTGTCCATGGTGTCTCCTGCACATGAGATGCACTGATTCACCTCGTTGATGTTCCAACGTTGCTTGCGGACAGGCTTGCAGCCGCTGCCAAAGCATAAGCGGACGGGCCACAAGGTGGCGAGTTTCGCGATTTCGCGAAAGGAGAGCAGAGGGCACAGGATGCACGGAGTATCCTCCCGGATCGGCAAAACGTAAAACGTAAATCGTCACTTCCCTTAGTAGCGCGTAGTGGCACCAAGAAAAGTCCTAAGCCATCCTAAGCCTCAAAGCTTGCAAGGTGCCTCCGGAGGGGCAAGGCCGCTCGTTGCGCAGCTTGTAAGTTTGATGCTTATGAATCTGCCTGTTTTGCCATAGCTGCTATACTGTCTATCCTGTCTATACTGTCTATACTGCTATAGCTTGCCGCACACAACCTTTGTACTGTAGAGCACGCAGAAGGAGTCAACCTAACGCTTTGCTGTAATCTGGTTCGATGAAAGCTGAAAGCATCTGAAAGCCAATCAGCAACGATCGATGAGCTTTGGAGGCTCCAGCAGCACCGCTGTCGGGGCCAGTTCGACAGGAGTTGCTGTTGGTCTTGCTTGTGACCGCTGACCTGATGCGCTGATCTTGTGCAAGCTTGGCTCCGGAACTCCTTCGATTTGCGGCATGCGGTTTCTTGGCTAGCTACGCTGTTCCAGGACTGATGACTTCCGGCTTAGGTGTTGCCGGCGAGTGGTTTAAACGGGCTTGCCTTTGATGAATCAAGCAATGGCCGGCACGCCCGCAGTCTGGGTAGCAGGGACAGCAACGACAGACTCCGGATAGAATTCAGAGCCGCATATTAAACCAACACCCAGGCAGAGGACGAAGCTCTATCTTGCGGACTGGCCCTGTTTTTGCTCGTACCTCACAGCTCAGCCCGGCACCGTGTGGCCGAGAACATGAGTGGTCTCAGAGTCTGGCCAGGCAGCCTGAGCCAGAGCCTTAGCGCAGCGCAGCCCCACGCAGCGCCGCACGCTGCGCCCCACGCTGCGCCTGGACCCGAGCATGTGCAAAGTCTATTCATGGTCCCAACGTGAAGTTCGAACAGTTTGAAATACTTGAACATACTTTGACTTCACTGTTCTTGTTGGGATCGGGATCAGGTTCGCACTCGAATCGGAGTCTGGATGTCCAAGGGTTGCCTCATGAGCATGAATGCCAGTCAGCGCAGGTCTGCAAGACAGGAAGACTCGTGTTTCAGTGTAGGCAGTGGCTCAGCTCCCTCACGGGCCCTGCTTTTCCTGAACCCAGGCCAGGCGATACGAGCAATCTCGAGACCTGATGCCTTTGAGCACGTGCTGGCAGCTTGCGGAGAATGCGCATTGTGTTCGAACGATTGGACATTTAATCTATCTGGCGCCCGTCAAGGTGGTAGGGCAATGTGACGAAACGGTTGTTGTTTATGAGAGTTCGGGAGTCAGTGGAATCACAATGCCCACTCCAAAGGCTGTGCAAAGCAGCCAACCCTTATGGGACCGGTGCCCTGCACACTCCCACAAGCACCATTGAAGCCTGCTATACGCTACTCTGCGATACTCTGAGATATTTGGAACCAAACACCAGCTACTTTGCTCTGTGAGTTTTTTTCGTAATGCTCCTGGCCCAGTTTGGCAGTGGAGCGAGCGCCTTGTAGCCCAGACTCGATGAATTCTGTCTCGCATGGCAGATGGTCCAATGTGGGCAACCACGACAGCAACCTGCAAAGCTCTGGGAATGCTCCAGCGGATAGTCCTCAGACAAAACTGTTGCGCAACTGTTGATGCTTCAGCAGGCAAATCATGCAGATTGGATTCGATTTAGCTAGCAACTCAGTTTCACCGCGGGAAGGTGAAAACGCTAGTCCCGCCAGCCAGGCCGATCGGCCAAGAAAAAGTCAGAAACATGCTTGCGCCGTGCAAGTCGCGCAGCTAGTCAGAAGGTCAAGGCAGAGGTCGGACAGTGAGGAGCAAAGGCGGAAGATAAGCTCCAAGCTACGAAGACATGACTTGGTAACGAAGATACTCTCTGGGACAGTGCTGGAGAATGGTGCCAGGAAGTTGTCTTGCAGGAAAGGCGCAAGCATAAGAATCAGGTGGCCACAGTGGCTCGGCTCAAAGCCCAACGCGTCCCAGCTCCAGATGATCATGAAGTCAGCCCTCCCTGTCTGATCCAAGGTCTATTGCACCACGCTGCTGTCAGCTCTTTTGGCATACATTGTAGGGCTAGATGGATACAGCACAATACTTCACACACACAGCATGGCAAGAGAAGCTCCTCGGCAAAATCCACTAGGTTGACAGTGCGACTGTGTTCCCTGCCCATGCACACCAGGTCTACTGCAAGTATTATGTTTAGTGGGGTATCGCTCCGACGAAGATGTCACAGAGATTCAGGTGCAGTATGTCACAGCGTCAAAAGAGTCTGATAGGCGGCGCCATTGCGACCACAGGTTTAACTCTTCTTTTGCCTGGGCCAAGGTTCCCACCGCCTCGCCGACCACCTTACCGTGCTGAAGGGATAAGGCCATCGGTCCCACCTGGTCCCCACTGGTCCCGATTTGTCCTCACAAGACCTACAGCGCCCGTTCCGCCCTTGCATCTGAGTCACATCTGTGCACTCGAAGGCAGGGCCAACCCTGGCGGTGCACGGCAGCAGGCTGTGCAGTCATCGCTGTGCAGGCGGGCGGGGACCTTTGTCACCTTTTGTTGGTCACATCCAAGGCTAGCTTTGTTTTTCCCGCTGCGCGGACTTGTGCAACCACAGGCCTGTTTACTGAGTTTCTTTGTGGCTTGTGGGTGGAATCAAAGGAGCTGGGTTGTCACCCGACGCTGGGTGATTGCTCGCTTTGTTTGCACGATTCTCAATGTGCAGGTGCGGGCTGGCAGCAGCTCGGCTCCCAAAATGCATCGTGCGCGGTTTCAGTTCACCTTTTCATCCCCGGCAAGACATGCGCAGCAGGTCCCAGCACAGATCAAGTTCCTTACAAGAATTGCTTGCGAAGGGGACTCAAGTGTGCCACGTTAAAGCTTTCACTGTCCTGATGGGGCAGCCAACTTCAGGCCGCCAGGTGGTCCGCCCGGCAGCCGAAGCAGAGCGAGAGGCCATAGCTTTGGGCCCTGAAGAAGAGTTGTGATGGAGATTGTTCGTTCCAAGCCCCTCGCCTTAGAAGCCCTGAAGGCTGAACTCGCAGCCCGGGACAAGCGCGAGCGCCGGGGTCGAAAGGGCGAAGACGTTCCCAGCCCGAAGCGGAGCATGCGGTGCAGGTATGCAAAGTTGAAGAATATGGTAGGACGATGTGGAACATTGAGCCACAAGTGTGTACAACAGATATCCTTTCGATGTTTTGCTTTGCAGCGAGTCTGGTAGGGCCATGGCGCCTGGCCCAGTCCAGAAGCTGCTACAAGCAGCGCATTTGGCATTGCGTCTGTTTCGATCTACAGCAGGCTGTGAGAAAGCTTGCATACTGTCATAGCAGGCTTAGCATTGGCTGCCAGAGATGAGTCTGTCTCTTGACTACTAAGGTCATCATTGCAGCCCGTGAGCGCGGTTTGCGGGCCGTGGAGGTGGGATCCTTGCATGCCGTACACATGCCGTAGGCCCTTGTAGGGGCCCCCAGCATGGGCCAAGGGCAGTTGCTCCAATGTTCAGCTGCATTGTCCTCTTTTGTCCTCAATGCAGTTGACCTTGGGATTGGCTGCGGGGCCTCTGGCCGCTGCGTCCTATCCCTGGTTGCGCAAGCCCCTTGGCAAGACAAGTCTGCAAAACATGGGATACGACTTGTTACGATGTCCATGGAATACGACAGGAAGTGTCCAGTTTCAATAGTCTGGGGTCTGGCTTTTCCTTGTACGACTGTATACTGGTGGCTGAGTAGCCCCCGCCAGGACTGCCGCAGAGCTCATCACCGGCGAGCAGAAGCTTGTCCAGCCGTAGTCGAAGCTTTAGGAACTCAGAAATCTTTGCAGAGCTTTGGTGCCTCTTCCGCCTATCGTTCTCTGATTCTCGGTTTCGTTCGAAACGGGTCCTGACCAGAAGAGTCAGAACAAGAACACTCCAGAAGACTCTGAGGAAGCTGTGCCTCGACTTCATGGGCCTCTGTGGCTCTGTACCGGAGGCGATGCAGGTTTTCTTCAGGCCGGTTCGGAGAGTCGGATTAGAAGAGTTGTTGTCATAAACTGCTGCTAGTATCTTCATTTTTGTTTCTCTGAGTCCCTGCAGACACCGACACCCCGCTTGGAAAGTGCCGTTTAGTGGGTGCATGATGTTCTGCACACCACGTTTCGCCACATGCGGGGAGGTTAGATCACTGTAGGGCAGCAGAGGGTGTTGCTACGACTTGCCGCACACCAACAACACCCTGCAGTGTGGCGATGGGGCAATGAGGTGCTGGTGTTGGCTCTGGGACGCCATTTCTGATTGAGTATGGCGGACGGTTGCCTGTGTCCGGCGTGTTTGGCAGGACCACCGTCGGCCTCCTCTTTAGTTTCCTTCTGGGCTACACTTCTTCGTTTCTGCTGGTGCGACAGGCACGATGGGCTGCACAAGTGGGTAGCAGTATCAGCAGCAGGGCACTTTCAAGGAAGCATTTCGGTGCGTGGACCTTCGTGTGAGCGGAGCATCAGGCACAGAATGGATGAATGGCCGCCATTAGGGCGGATGATGGTCCAGCACAACGCAAGCAAGCAAAGAATCAATGTGCCATGCATGATGAGCATGATACACGAGCGTTCGATCATCTCGCATACACTACATTCGACACCAGATACAAGGCACACTGCCCCCCCTGAACGACGTCGATTTCTGGACAGCCAGTCTTTAGGGCTCAACAGACGAAGGCTTAACGACCTACAGAGATCATCGCAGATTCGGAAGGGGTATGTTGCCAGGATCTGCACAAGTCCAGGCAATGTTTTGCAGGGTTCGCAGCCGCAGAGGTACCACACGTAAAAGCTGATGGACGCATCGCCGGTAAGCCTCGCTATAGTTTCAAGGAGTACGCAATCATACTGTATGTTACACAGCCGCATGCAGCACATCGGATTCCCAAACAGCTTTGTGCATTTTTAGCTGCGTGCCTCTGCTCGTTTAACCAAGTGCCCCAGGATCTGTTGCCAAACTCAGCTCGAACCCCCAAGAGGTAGGGAAAGCGGAAGCTGTCCAGTGTGACTTTGAAGCTTTGTTGACCGGCATGATTTCGGCATTCAGCGCCCCGTAGCTCTTGTTGGCCTTCTCCGCCTTTTCCTTGTTTGCCATTGAATGGAAGAACGTAGTCTCGAGAAATAGGCTCCCCACATCTTTGAGAACTTTCTTTGGAAGCAGAGGCCCTTTTTCGTTTAACATGAGGCTTAGCTTACTGTCGGGTACAGCTTTGAGGATTAGCATGCAACTTCAGAAGCCAAAGAAGCCTGAAACTGGCAGTTGCAAACCAGACCTGCCCGAGGAGAAGTTCTACGAAGCAATGTACTCAGAGTCCGCCGTGCTGACTCAGCTTCTCGAGGAGGTGAGAGGAGCAGGGTTTGAACATCGTGGTTTGGCTTACAGTTGTCATTGTGCACTGATCCGCGCGCACCTCCCGATGATGTAGATGAGCACTGCGTTGAAGAGGAGCGTGCGCGCGTGTGCCGGCAGCGCACTCCATACTGCGAGTTGTTGTGTTCTGCAGGCCCCCTTGCTGCTGGATCCTTCTGACTTGCAGGTCTTCGTGCCACTCGCTTGGCAGCTACTGTTCTATCTATGGGCCTACTCGCAACACGTCAGAGGCGCGATATGGGATTATGCAGCGTGCGCCAAGCAGAATCCCATCCAAGAGCTCAGGAAGATGGTGCGGCTGTACCTGGCTTCGAGCACTTGGCGAAACGCGACCCTTCCTCTGCACAGAGCGCAGCAGAGTCACCAGAGTCCGGTCAGAGACGACGTGCCTCCGACTCAGGGGAAGCCTGAGGGTCAGCTTATTCCAAGTTCGTTCCTCTGCAAGGAGCTTCATCCCCTCCGAGCTGGTGGCGCGGGCTCTTCGTTCTGACAGGGTCGGCGAGAGCCAATAGGGCCAGTCAACCGATCTGAAGTGCGTGTTTGTTAGGACCCCGTGGAAGAGATGACACGACTCCTCGTGGGCTTACCAGGCCCAGGCGAGGCCTGCAGCAACAGGATTATATACTCCTCTTCGTGAGAGGCTTTCACCCCACCCCGTGTCATGCACCTATGAAGCCTCTCGAGGTGCTTTGTCAGAGCACGTTGGTGTGATTTTTTGTTTTTGTGTGTGTGTGTGAGCGCGTGCGTGTGACAGGCGCTGCACGCCTCCTTGATGTGATCTCCGCCTTGCGAGCTGCCAGAGCTCGGACCGGTGGATGTACGCACAAGCGGTGTGGAAATGTTCAAGTAGAGCTCCTGGCTTCTGCAGGAAGTACTCGTCCATGCAGCGCATCATCCCCACTTCCCAGTTCGGCGTACTCGTTTTGTTGGGCTTGCCCGCCGGCTGCAGTCTGCAGTCCAAATGTCTACACGACATTCGCGAACCCGCATTGTTTCTCCATTCGGAGCCCGCAGCAGTGTGTGTTTGAATTGCGTCTGCGGTAACTGCGGCTGAGACTGATCACGCTTTCGCCGTTCCTCGACGGAAATGGCGACAGCTCGGTGCTTGTGCCCGGGTCAGAACTAGAAACCACTTGTTGTGCAGAAATGGGCATTTTCTGGTAAAGCAACCAATGCGCATTTACTGGTAAAGCAACCGAGCTCCTTGATTCTCCGGCTTCCAGGCACAATATCTGTACGGAGCGCTGGTGGAAGTTCTGATCTTTGTCATCGTCTACGTTGGTGGTGGGCCAGGCTGGTGGGACAACCCAGGTCAAGCTGGTGTCGACGCCTAGTGTTCCAGCTGGGGCTCGCGCATATAGGCTTGATCTGAGGCTTGATCACCCAAGTAGCTCCATCCGTCTTCAGCGTTTGATGGAACGAACTCGTTGGCACCCTGATTAGTACGATGCGCTAGGTCTTGGCGTCTACACCACCGACCAGGCTGCTGATGGGCATGGGGCATGTAAAGTGTAGCTTCGTGATGTAAGAACCGTGCGCACAAAGGCACACAGGTCCTCTCAGCAGGGTTCCTTGTCAGGAGCGTGCAACGATTCTCGATGCCCTCATGGAGCTGATTGACAAGACTGAAGCCAGAGCCAAACGCGAAAGCCAAGGAGGGAGCATCAGCTGTTCAGCTATTTGTTCAGAGGTGTTCACAATCTAGCTCCACACGTCAAGCTCACGCTCACGGCGGTGCCCAAACATAAACTCTGCTTATCATCCACGTTCCAGAGTTGCATGGAGGCTTAGAGGTGCAGATAGCATTTGTGAGAGTGCGATCTGCCAGGCGCCTCTGGCGAGAAGCAGAAAGCGGCTGCGAGCGCAAGATGAAGCAAAGAAATGAAGATAACGAAGCAAAGAGACAGCTACAAGAAAGTCTTCCATCTGCAGCATGTTCAGGCAGCCAAGCATCATGAGATCTTTGTTCTTGGAAGAAGCTGCAGCAATTTTCCCACGGTCCCCGGCCCACCTTAATCATCGCTTCTGCCCAACTCAGGGGCCCCGTTTTCCAAAAGCTGGCCAAAGGAGCTAGCTGGTCCCTGAACTTGCAATGAAACGCAAGGTTGCGTCTGTTTGGCCTGAGTGGCCGAATTCGCTTCAAGAAAGTGAGAAGAGTTGCAGCAGCACTTGCCACAGCTGTCAACAATTTGTCTGACAGATGCCTTTGACTTTGTCTCGCAACTCTCTTGCACAACAAGCTCTGACACCTGCATGCAGACCCTTTTGCGGCACTCCCGCTCTCCGGGTCGCCGCGCTGGCGTCAAAGATGCAGGGAGACTTACGAAGCATGGCCCTGCCGCTTGGGCCTTCATCAGTGTCGGCCAAAGACCTAGTGATGCCCTGCGTTACATGAAAAAACGCAGCGGCGCTGCCGCACTCGCACGTGCAACCTGCAACTCGCCTCAGCAATTGCCCTGGGGCACACAGGACTACTGTCCGGAATCTGACAAGGAAGCCTATAGAAGATGCCGAAGCCGGCACCGGTTTCTGGCCCAGAGTTCTCAAGAAGTCGTAGAAGCCGGATAGACTCGTAGACATTGGAACCCTCGCCATGGCTCCACCCGTCCTCACCCATGACTTAGCCCTGGAAATCCAGGACTCAGCTTCCTTGATCCGAGTTTTCATCAGCTTCCCGGTGTAAGCAGGTGCTTTCCGGCTCGGTTGCAGAGGTTTTGTAAAACAGTCCTTGCCGTCATCTTTAAACCAAAGCCACCACCTGATGGCCTGAATGGTCCGTAACAGGGTGGCGGACTTTGCGCACTTCTCAGGAAAGTTACGACACATTGTTTTTGCATGTTTTTGCCTAAGCATGCCGTTGCACATCGTGGCACCACAGGCTTGAAGCCGAGTCAGAGAAAGGCGTTGCCAAGGTCTTTTTCAGTTGAAGCTGTGTGTCCGCGCGAGAACCCCATAAAAGTACAGAAAAGGAATCGAATGGACTTGACGGGCATGGCTTGTCCACTAGCGGATAGCACACATGCACCCATGCCCCACCTGCAGAATCGCTTCGTCACAGTGTGCCCAGACTATCTAGATCTTTGCTGGTTTAGGATGCTTAGGGCTTAGGGATGCTTGGACCTTGTAAGAGCTTCCTGTTTTTGAGGTCGCTCATTTGGACTCCTCTGGCACTACGGTTTCATCTGTGCTCACCCATCACCCTAAAGGCTAAGCTGCAACTTACGAAGCGGTTTACCCCCATATGTAACAAGAAAACTGTGCACCGCTTACTTCCGTGTGAAGGGATGTTGCACAGTACAACCCGAGGCAAGAAAGTTGGAAAAGAGCACTCCCTTATGTTGTACATCTTGTGTTGCATGTTTTTTTGCATGTTGTTCCCCACCCCCGCATCCGTCTGAGGAGAAGCTCATTGGAGAGTTCACACAGCCAGCCTTCAGGTACAAGCTGCGGGATGCTCTGGATGGCTCCGAGGGTGATATCATGAAGCAGGCGCTTCCGGCTCTCCAAGATTTTAGTTCAGTATAGTTCAATGACTGCTGGGAAGAAATTACCTTCTAGAGCCTCTCCGGGGATCATCTCTCTGTGTGCTTGTTATGTGGTGGACGATGATGGCTGGCAGCAGGCTCATGCGCGTCGAGACGTGTGCATGGCCGTGGAGATCCCGCTGCTCGCACAGTACGGGTACGACGCTTCAGAGGAGGGAATCCACCAGCACAGACGCTTGTTCAAACTGGCCAGGTTCAAGAATTTGTTGTGGGCTGGTAACTTTAACGCTGCGCGACCCGCCTCGGCCCGGCCCAGCGCATCCGCGTGAGCATGGTGATTCCGCAGCGCCCAAGTCGCTGGACCCCAAGCAATAAGGGTTGGATTTAGGGTTTAGGGTTCCGGGTTTATGGTTTGGGGTTTAGGGTTGAGGGTTAGTTTAGCATTGAGGGCTTAGGGCTCAAGGTTCACGCTTTGGGGTTTAGGGTTTTTTTGGGTTTAGGGTTCAAGAGACGGTTCGGCTTGGATTGATCGTAGGGTTGAGCCAGGCCCCTCAGGGGGGGGTAGGGGGGGTGGGGGGCGGGTGGGGGGGTTTTGGTTGATTTAGGGGTTGAGTGCTTCGGGGCTAAGGTTTAAGGTTTAACGGTTTTTAGGTAGTTTGTTCAAGCTTCGACTCTTCGGCTCGTGGTAAAATATTGGCTTTTGGTGGCGGGCCGGGGGAAAAGGGAAGTGGGGGGGGTCGGGGGGTTGGTGGGGGGGGGCGGTGGGGGGGCTTGGGGGGGGGGGTGGTGGTGGGGGGGGGGTGGGGGGGGGGTGGGGGGGGGGGGGGAGGGGGGGGTGGGGGGGGGGGCGTGTGGGGGGAGGGGGGGGGGGGGGGGGGGTCTGGGGGGTGGGGGGTGGGGGTTTTGGGGGTGTGTGGGGGGTGGGGTTAAGGGGGGTAGGGGTGTGCTCGGAGGGGCTTCAACCCCGGTTTCCTTGGGGGGGTACCCATTTGAGGCAAAAAAAAGGGGTCCGAAAAATGGTTTGATAACCTATACACCTCTGACCCGAGGGTTTGGCGGATCATTTTTTGTCAGGCAGCCTTTTGTGCCTTTACCTCCTTAGTCATGCAGTCAGCATCTTCTGAATCTTTTGACAGAGCGACCATCCTTCGCAGCATGCTCTGCTTACTTCGACAATGTCCATCTTCCATGAAATGGCACAGAGTGGGGAGTGAGGGTTCCAGGTCTGCTGGACGAAATGAGGAGCAATCGGTGTCTAAGGTGCGGCCATGGCTTCGCTGTTGAAGGACTGCCCCGATCTTGTGGCAAAGAACAACGAACTGGCGCGCTTGGTGCCTTGGCGACCAAAATCATCTGCCGGAGTGCTGTTGCCAGCCTCATAGTAGATTTATGTCTGCTCTACTGCATGAAGGTGAACCCGACCATGGATGTTGACGAGGATACACACATTACAGGTGATTAGGAACGCGATTCGCAACATGATGTGCATGCGACTTCTGGTAAAATCAACAGCAAAGATGTCCATCACAAGTTGGCCATCTGGAGAGAACGTCAACTTGCAAACGAATTAGTTTACGCAACTGTTTGGATGGTCCGCGAAGCGCTTAGACTTTGCTAGTCCTGGTGCCCCTCAAGGAGACTCGATCTCAGAACTCGACCATTCGATATTCATTGTTCGTATGTGCTCCTGTGCTCCTTTCTCCTTGTCGGGCCGTGGCAGCAATGTCTTTAAGTCCACTTTCAATGTGTACAGCCTGCACGCACAAGCAGTGCCGTTTGATATCTTCAGCGCCTTCGCGCGGCCGGCACCGGCAGTTGACAAGCCTGAATATGGGACCGAAAACCTGTTTCTTCCCTCTGTTTCGACACAAACTTCACAGATGACAAATAATATCTGAAAATGCGCTATGGCTAAAAATTCAGTTCAGGGTGGATCTGGTTTTGGAATACTACTGGTCCATGTATATTTGGGCTGGAGTATTAGGCTTAAATTCACCAGTAGCGTTTCGATTCTGACTCCTAGTTTGAATATGTTTGATCTTCCATTTTTATCATATGTATATATTTATATATATGGATAGCCAATCATTCTGGAGATTGTAATGATCCAGCGATTTTGAGATGGTTCCATGCTGCATAAAAGTCTTCCCGACCATTGATGGGGTCTTGGAGCATCTGGATGTCGATTCCCTTCACGATCCGAACTTCGAGAGCCTGAAAGGATCGAAGGTCGGGGTGGAAAATTATTCTGAATAATCATTTCTAATCCTCTAGAAATATACGTTATTATTAATAATGGAGAATGATAATCATTCATATCGATCTAGAATATATCAATAAGATTTTCAAATTGAATTATGGAAAAATATGAGTTTTTTTACTTCGAATATTTCTATCTTCGTTTGGTAAAGATACTCTGCGGTTGTGCACTCTGGGGATATTCAGGGGTTGGGTACTCTGGGGACACTTTTCTAGGAGATTCTGGGGTTGGACATTGTAGAGAGGTTCTGGGGGTATTTGGGTTGGGCACTCTAGGGAGATTTGGGGTTGAGGGATTTCGGGGTTGGGCATTCTAGGGAGAATCTGGTCTTGGGCATTCTGGGGATATTCTGGGGACACTTTGGGATATTCTAGAGTCGGGCACTCTAGGGACATTTTGGGGTTGAGGAGTAGATTGGGCGAGGAGAAGAGCTGAATTTAAAAATCTAATGACCCCTTACCGAGGATGGGGGATTACTCATCTTCCCAAAAAAATGAAAATATTATATTCTGCAAATATAGTATATGGGATTACTTGAGATTCTTATCGTGTATGCTTCAATATATTATCGCATATTTCTTATATTTTATTCTTCGGGGAAAATAAATAATATATAACTTTCTTTTTTGCGAAGAGAAATGAATAAAAGATATCAAGTTTTTCTTTTTTCGAAATCTAGAATAAATGAGCAATAAATTAAAATCTTTTTTTGAATAATCTGAGATAAATGAATAGGTATTTCAAATCTTTCTTCTTTGTTAATTAAATCTGAAATGGATAAAGATCTCTTGTTCTTTGATATCTTAGGTATTCTCAAATTTCATCATATATTATTCGAATATCTATTAAAAAAATCTCTAAATTCATAATGGATTTTACGATCACGATCTCTATATATTGAGATATAATCTATTTATTTAGCAAAAATGGATGAAGGTCTCTCGATAAATTAATTTAATAAAAATGGATGAAGGCCTCTCGATATATTTATAATATTTTTTCTATTTTATTTATTTTTGATAATGATCGAATATTATAAAATTGAAATGATATATTTGGATTGAAATCATTTCTAATTATATCCCCATAAAAGGCTACGGGCTCGACCCCTATTTTCGCTCTGCGGCCGCCCCGTCGGATGCCCCGCCTCCTCTTCCGGTCCATTTGGCTGCTTGTGAGGGCCTTGTAGGGGGATCCTGAAAATTCCGGGAATTTTAACACTTTTTGTCTAAAAATCCTGGGAATTTTGGGAATCACCCGGAGCTGAAAATTCCCGGAATTTTAGGAATTGTCCGGATTGAGGTTTGGGCTTGCCGGGTTGGATTTAAGGTTCCAGCGCAACAGTGATGACGTGGGTGCCCCTTCACCTTCAAGGAAATCTTCAAGGAAATCTCTTGGTCCAGGGTAGTTCCGATGACGGTCGCCGCCCGCCAGCTGTTCAAGGGGGTTCGGCCTCACGATCACATATCAGCAACAGCTCTCGAAAAATCCTAGGAATTTAAATTCCGGGAATTTTCGGGATCCCCCGGGTTCAGGGTTTTACGCTTTACGGTGTAGGGTTTTGGGGTTTAATAGAAATTGTATAGGGTTTGTGTCCGGAGTTTTGTCGTGTTTTGGGGGGGTTTTGTTTTTTGCTTTTGCTGTAATGGTTTGGGTTCTGTCGGGTGTGGTGGGGGGTGGGTGGTTTTGGGGTGCTGAGGGGTTGGGGCTGAAAGGCTGGGGTTTTGGGGGGTTTTCCCGAATGGCCGTGGTGGTGGTCCGTGGTCCCGTGGTGTTCGTCGTGGTGGTCCCACAGCGTGGGGGTGGTCCCGTGGGGGTGGTGCTCCTTTGGTAGTGGTGGTCTGTCGCTGTCGTGGTGGTGGCGGTGTCCGTGGTGGTGGTGGTGGTGGTGGTCCCGTCTGGTGGTCCCGTGGTGGTGGTCCCATGGTGGTGGCCGGGTGGTGGTGGTCCGTGGCGGTGGTCCGCGGTGGTGGTCTCGTGGTGGTGGTCTCGTGGTGGTGGTTCCTTGGTGGTGGTCTTGTGGCGGTTGTCTCGTGGTGGTGGTCCCGTGGTGGTGGTCTCGTGGTGGTGGTCCGTGGTGGTTGGTCCGTGGAGGTGGTCCGTGGCGGGGGTCCGTGCGGGTGGTTGTGTTGGTGGTCGTGGTGGTGGTCTCGTGGTGGTGGTCTTGTGGTGGGGGTCTCGTGGTGATGGTCTTGTGGTGGTGGTCTCGTGGTGGGGATCTATGGAATCTTGTTTTTTAGAAGGGAGTCTAAAGGACCATCGAAATCCAATATGTTGATGCCATCGCAATATTCTTGGATTTATAAGAATGATTTATGAATTTTCTTTTCATTCGAATTCTTTGTAGGATGTCCCTCGCACAGGATTATGGATCGAATCTATTTCTTGAATACGATGGATATTATTGGAGGAGATTGAAATCATATTTCGTCTCATCAGAATTTGATTTTAATTGGAGGTTCGTCTCATTTTTGATTCTTTCTATTTAGGAATATTCGATTGTTTTTTTTTTTTTCTGTCTTTATGGGATGACTTGTAATTGGAGGTGATGATGGGTCTTTAAGCATATCGAGGCATCTTGGAGAATTCGAAATTCATCTTGCTCTCGTGGATTTGTTTAGGCGCACATAACGCTTGGATGATGAATTTCATTTATAAAATAAATTTTGGTTTGGGGTCCCACGTGGTCGGGTTTAGGATTTAGGACTTAAGGAAATTCTAAATCTAAGCGCCCGACCACGCCGGACCGCATAGCCAATTTTTTCCAGATTCGAATTTGGACACTTTGTCCCTTCAGGCAGCCAGGTCCTAAATCTTAAACGACAATCCCTAAATCTTGCCTTCGCACTTCATCATTCGTTCGAGTTCTTATTGACGCCCGCGCGTCAGGCTCTCAGAATTCTATAAAGGGATCCCGAAATTAAATGGATCTTTTATTTGTTCGTATTTCTTCAAAGCTTTGGCGTACGTCTTCTTCCATTCAATAGGCGAATATATCGTCGATGGAATCGACGGGTCCCCTCTAGTTTCTTTATAAATCTATAAATCTTTCTCTTCATCGGCTTTATTTAGGATCAGATTTGGATTGAATTTAGGATTGATTATGAAATATATATCTCATTGGATATCTTTCTTCGAGATGGATATGATTCTTCTTTTAAATTATCTCTTTTGATACAATGCTGTATATAAGATATGACTTTTAATTTTTCATCATTCGGGAATATAAATCTCTGATATCGATGATTTGTGAATCTTGATTTATTTATTAATCTTTCATTTTTCTGGGATATCTGGATAATGATCAATTTTTAAGCACGATGGATCGAAGAAAAAGTGACCGCCAAGAGGAAATTTGGAGAAAGATATAGGATGATTCGAAATAGGGGGTTTGTCATGGTGTTGTCCGTTTCTGGGGGTTTTGGTCTGTTATGGTGTTGTCCATTTCTAGGGGTTTTGATTTGTCACGATATTGGGGTTTTGTCCATCATGGTAATGCCCCCTTCTAGGGATTGTGGTCTGTCATGGTATTGTCCATTTCCAGGGATTTTGATTTGTCTTTGTCATGGTGGTGTCCGCTTCAAGGGATTTGGGTCTGTCACGGTATTGTCTGTTTTCAGGGATATTGGTTTGTCATGGTATTGTCCATTTCTAGGGGTTTTGGTCTGTCATGGTGATGATTGATCCCAGGAATTTTGGTCTGTCATGGTGTTGTCCGTTTCTAGGGGTTTTGATCTATCAATTTTGATTTGTCATGGTGTTGTCCGTTTTAAGGGATATTGGTTTGTCATGGCGTTGTCCGCTTCTAGGGGTTTTGGCCTATCATGGTGTTGTCCGCTTCTAGGGCTTTTGGTCTGTCATGGTGATGTCCATTTCCAGGGATTTTCGTCTGTCATGGTGTTGTCCATTTCTAGGGGCTTTGGTCTGTCATGATAATATCCGTTTCCAGGGGATTTGGTCTGTCATGGTGTTGACCTCTTCTGTCACGGTATTATCCATTTCTAGGGGTCTTGGTTTAGCTCGATATTGTCCATTTCTAGGGGTTTTGAATTGTCACAGTATTTTCCGTTTCTAGGGGTTTTGGTCTGTCATGGTAATGTCCGCTTCTAGGGATTTTGGTCTGTCACGGTATTGTCCGTATCTAGGGATTTTGGTTTGTCACGGAATTATCCATTTCTGGGGAATTTGATCTATCATGGTGA